AATGCTATTACATGAGGTATTAAGATAATAAATAGCATCACTTAGGCAGGTGGCCCAATTCTGGGGCTGAGGTTTCCATGCCCTGTGTCCTCTGTTCATCCGAAGAACAACTGCCCAATTCTAGATGAGGAAGGCATGTTGAAGGTCTCCTAGCTGTACAGCAGTGGATCCAGGGCTGGTGCCTGGGTTAACACAGATACTTATAACCCCCTGACTGGAAGAACTCATTCTGTGATATAACTCATGCTCAGTCATACCTGGGAAGCTATTGTCCTTCCATAAAAGTCTACCTGGCATGTATTACTTCTTCCCTGGAGAGGAAGGCTTCTGTCTCCAGTCAGGATAACAGGGTACCTCCCCAAGTGTCTGTGCTCCTTGTTAGCCACCAGGGGGCGGAAAAACCTTTATTCCACTACTATTACCAGGGAACACTACATTTAAAAAACTGAACCCTTGTGCAATTTGAACCTCAAATAAACAACAAAAAAGAGTTTATTGCAAGTAGCTCCAAAGATAAAATGGATGCGCTTATACTAATTTTTTTTAAATCCGTTGGTTATCTGAATTAAATTCTTCTAGGAGTGCTGCTTTCCCCCAACCTCCAGCCCTCAGGCCTGCAACCATGGACTTCCTGAAATTTTATGGCTTACTATGGTCTGTCCATCACACATACATACACATGGGAGGCTAGTGGGGGGGCGGGGAAGGGAACATTAGAATATATCCTGGTTTGTCTCATTGCAAGGAAAATAAAATAAGGGTAAGATCACTCTTAGAGACCAAATTCCTTATGCCAATGGCAACGGGTTCAGAGCCAGCTTTTGGAAAAAGAACTCTTGGTTCTTGCTGCCCTGCCCCACTTCCTGTCTTCACGCTTGAAATCCCTTCCCCGGAGTAAATGTTTCCCAGTTTTCAAACTTGGAAAGGCAACTCTTCACCAATTTACAATCTCTCTGTGAGCCCCATGGCAAGCTCTACTGCCAGCAAGCTCCTTCCCCTGCCCCCAAGTCCTTTCAGCAGAATATGTTTGGAGTGGCAAGAGGTGGCCAGTTTGATCCTAGAACTATTTTGTGGGCTTGTTTGGAGATTGAGACTCCAAAACACAGGGGGGTCAAGGAAGAAGTTTCAAGTTGCTATGGAAACTTCTCTGATGTTTGTGGGCCTATCTGAATTGCCTTTGGTGCTACTGAGCCAAAGGAAACTAAGCTGAAATAAAAGAAAAGCTGATTGTGGAGGTTTTTCCTGCACTACAGCAAGAAACGCCCCAGTACTCAGCTGGCTGCCTTCCTGGTCATCAGTACCCTTTCCTCTCATACTTCCAGGAGACAGGGGTAAGCGTGGCAGTCTCCTTCAGTCTTCCTACTGTGGGGCTGAGTGAGAACTCTGCCCACCAACTTCTAAAGCACTTTGTTTCAGAGGAGAGGAAAAGCAGGGGCAGAGAGGCAGCGACTCCATCTTGAACCGAAGATTTCTGCAACAATCTCCTGCTAGATTCATTTCCTTAAGGGCCTCTGTTCTCCCATATTCAAGACGAACACACATGACCCATGCAGGATTCCAAACTGGCTCTCAGGACAGCTGCTTGGAAGATGCGGTTTCCCCCATACTTTTACATCCTTACTGCTTTTCTCTGACAAAAGCAATGTGTGGGTGGGTTTGCTCATTATGAAGTCACAAACATTACAGAACAGTAACAAAAGACAAGGGCTTATAACTGCATTGTATCAAACAGTAGTTCTCAGACTTTAATACAAAGGATTCCCCCAGGGGAATATGCTCAATCCATATTCCTGGGCCGGGCAAGGGCCTCAGTGATTGATCACATATGCCCAAGGTCCTGCTTTTGAGCTACAGAATGTAGGGGACAATGTAGGGGGACAATGTACAATGTAGGGGACATCTTTTACAGATTGACATGCTAGTTGACTGCACCCCATCATAAGGTGATGCAATCTTTCTCATTGACCGTTGTAGTTGAACAGTGGTGTCTCTGATTGCCCATCTCCATCTCCTGTGCAGTGTCATGAGCACCCACACACCACAGGAAGAGCTGCAGCAAGTATCCGATGCAATGTCTTCTTGTCAGCTATAGTTTTTTTTAGCACTATTTTAAATACAATGACAAAATACACAAGAATATTAATGTAAAGGGAGAAAACATTTAACTTAGTCCACGGTCTTGCTGATTGCAGTCCACAGTCAGCTGCTTCTATTGCTTTTAAGACCATAACAAGACAGAAACATGGTGGAAGAACACTGCTTACCTTATGATGTCAAGGGTAGGGGACAGGGATAAGATGTACCCAAAGTCACCCCATCCCAGAAACCTACTGCCTTGCTCTAACTAGTCCCCACCTTCTCATAGCCTATTCAACTGTGAACCCATCAGTGCATTGATCTACTGATGAAGGTAAGGCCATCAAGACTTAGTTACTTCTTAACAGCACTTCTGGAGACCTTCAGCACTTTAGCTTTTGTGGGGAATACTTCATGTCTAATCCATAGCAAGTATCTCAGTATTGGGATTATGACAGAAATTATGACAAGAATAAAAGAAGGCCCCTGCTGTTGAGCTGCCAGCCTAGTGGGTGAGCTTGCTGGGTCTGTACCAAGTTGGGCTGTGACAAAAGCCTTAGATGGAACAGCAGAGAGAGTTCTGGTTGCACAGAGGAAATAACACCTAGCCTTGAGGCTTCTTGCCCAACTGTCTTTGGCCATCTATCATCCTGGACCTGCAACCAGGACTTTCTAGATAAGGGAGTCGACAGTAGAAATAGTGGCCATGGCGGTTATGGGGGCTCCAGACATAAGCAGAAGCTGTCAGAGTCCTTCCCCAGGGTCCTTAGATCCTCAGTTGTCAGAAGTCACTAAGGTTGGTTCTGATGAGACACTGAAATTCCCAAAGAAACACCCAGTTCCTTCTCTGTAGAATAAGATGAGAAAGTAAACGGGTAGCAATAATGGTTGAAAAGTCTTTTTTTTTTCTTTTTAAATAAAGTCTCCTGTGGCCCAGGATGGCCTTAAGCTGGCTGTGTAGCTGAGGACGGTCTTGAACTGCTGATCTTCCTGCCTCTACCTCCCCAGTTCTGGGATCACAGGTATGAGCCACCACATCCAGTTTTATGCTGTGCTGGAGACAGACCCCAAGGCTTCCTGCATGCTAGGCAAGCATTCTACAACTGAGCTACACCCCCAGCCCTTGACAAGACTTTTGTTGCCCTATTCTACTAGGAGAGCTGAGTGAAATGAAGCAGCCAGGGTGGGAAGCTGGGGGAGGTTATCATTCCAGGAATTTCCAGAAAGCCAGAACTTGAGAGCAATAAACATAGAGGACTACACATTGTTTCTAGAACAGTCTCGGGCCTGAGAATGTGCAACTCTAAGTATCTGTGGCTTCAGAGCACTAGGAGTGCCCTCCCACACCTCCCTTTCCAGGCCCCCCACCATCTCCCTCCTTTCTCATTGCAGTTCTCCTGGCCTTCTACAGTTCTCAGCTCATTCCCACTCTAGAGCCTTGACACTAGCTGCCCTCATTCTGGAAATCTCTCCCACACAAACAATGGTCAATTTCTTGTGAGTCAGCCTCTGCCATGCCCACCCTTTCCAAGCTTTCAATCACTGCCCTTCACTCAGCCTTACCTTCTATACAACCATGCATCACTGACTGACATTTTCTTGTGTGTCTTCTTATCTGCTGTCACACACACACAGGCACACATGTACTGAATGTGGATTCCCTGAGCACAGGGGTACCATCTGTCTCCTACTCATCATATGCCCACTTAGGTCATGCTAAGAATACAGTATATACTCAGTAGATGTTGGCTAAATGAACAGATCTTGTGGCCAAAAAGAACCCAAAACTGCATGCGCAATGCATCTGCTTACCTGTGAGGTGTGCCTGGTCCTCATCACTCCTGGACAACCCATGTTCATGAGAAAGTGAACTGGGGTGAAAGCCTAGTTTCATTGGCAGGTGCTGGCTTCTTCCCTGGGGAACACAGGATAATGCCCAAAGCAGGAACCACTCCCAATGCTCAAGCGGAAGCTAGCTCAGAGGTGAGGGGAAGGCGTCTTATCTACGAGCATGTGGATTTGTTTTCAGGTTCTGCCCATGACCTGAGCTTTTATTTGCACACAGTCTCATTGTGGCCAGGCACAAGCATGCATGTTGGTGGCCTTAGTGTATGACAGTTCTCTCTGTAGGGTGTATTAGTGGACACCATCTCATTGAGGTTATCACCCAGCCACAGAAGTCAAAGTAAAGAAAGGCCTGGGATTCTGATAGGGTCCAGGTATAGACTCCATCACCTGCCCTTCTCTTGCCTACATCTTGCTGCTTCTTCTGTGAAGTTCCAGGTACGAAGTTAATTATATGCTTTTTGTTGTTTGTTTTGTTTAACTTAGAGACAGAATTTCTCTGTTTAGCCTGGCTATCCTGGGACTTGCTCTGTAGACCAGACTGCCCCAGAACTCAGAGATCCACCTGCCTCTACCTCCCAAGTGCTGGAATTAAAGGTGTGCACCACCACCACCCAGTATGTATGAATTTTTCAAACCACTAACACGTGTGTCCGATGTAGCTCAACACATTTGTAAATGACAACTTCATGTCACACCTGTGCCTGGAGGATGACCACAAACTGACTCAAGGTATAGTTCTTTCCCTGCTAGCACCCCAAGAGTCATGCTCCAAAGAATTACTTGCTGCAGCAGGAAGTATGGTTTCCCAATCCTTGAGGGAAGTCCTGGAATCACCTCCCATACAAACGGGAAATTCCTCCACAACAGCTAGAAACAGGCTTGTTCAGAACAAAGCTTGGCATGATTTTTATTCCTCATCAATCTGACAAAACAGGTATTTATTTGTGCCTCTCAATCAGGATGGCTTGGACATGGTGTTCTGAGTGGCCATGGCCACTCACCAAGTGAAATAACAGTTTCTATAGCAACGGTTCCTTTTTATTGATATCAGAATAAACAGGAATACAAAACTGCCTCCCATCTCAGGCAGTTTAAGACCCGCCCTTTGTGGGTGGCTGCCTCAGCCCTGGGACCTGCTTAGATCTCCCTAAGACTGAGAGCTGCAGAGGAGCTTGCAGCCCAGACACTGCTCTGAGACTCCAGTCTATTCTGTCACTTGCTGTCAGGCTGTATTCTGGGAGAAGGTGGAAGGAAGGAGAGAGACCTGGGAGCAGCAGAGCAAGCTATCCTGGCAACCGAACCCTTCGAATTTAGGTACCTGGACTCTGCCTCACTGGGGTGAATGATACAGGGATACGAGGTGGGAATGGGGGACAGGGATTGAGTGGGCTCTCAGTTATACTCTGAAGCCTGGTTGATCTTTTGCTTCTAAATACTGAGCAAAATTTAATGTCTGCTATAGCCTCTCCTAGATCCATTATTACACAATAGGGGTGTGTAGGGTCATCGAAGAGAGGTCACTTAATAATCAACAGATGGACAAAAGCTCAGGTTCTATATGCAATAAGACAAACACAGAACTTGGGTTTAGGCACCAGAACTCAGGTCAGATTCTGGTTCCTTTATTCACTGGCTATGTGATCTGGAGAAATCAGATGATGTCTCTGAGGCTGATGACTTGCTCCTAAGAAGGGTTGCCTACCTTCTCATTTTATTGGGAGTTCATTGGGTCCAGGGCTAGATGCACAGCACAGCACTCAGCCTGTACTGTGAGTGCAGGCTACTAGTGATGCCCACCTTGCTGATGGACTTGTGTTTAGAATCATGCAGTAGAAGGCCAGTCTGAGACTAGAGAAATCAGGCCTTAGGGGATCGTATATCACTATGATGTTGCTATAAGCAGGATGGTTTCTAAATTTGAAGCTGTCCTCACACGTAGGTTTCTGGTCAGCTTGAATCCTGGTGGCTTTCTTAGCTCAAAGGATGGTAACCTCTGCTGTGATTTTCCCTGAGCCAGCAGCTCTCAGGTGGAATGGGCTGCCATCAGACCCCATGAGCTACAGTATGGGAGATCTGCTCAAGCTGGTTCCTGCTCAACAGCATGACATAATCCCTAACCTTGCAGAGGACCCATTATGGCTCACCTTTCAAAACTCAACCCTTCTCATTGCCTAAAAAATTCCATGGGACCAAGACAAAGCACTGAGGAAGTCAGTCTGGAGTCCTCTCATCCAGATGGACAGGCAGCTTCAAGAAAGTTGGACTGAGGCTGCAGGGAGACCTGGAGGTATTGCCAGATATGTTCTTAGGTTACTGGCCAGTGAGTCACAAATGCGGCACCCGCAGGGAGGAAAGGGCAAGCAGGACATGTGGTAGCCAGCTTGTCACTTTTCTGAATGTTTCCCTTTCCCTTGCCAGCTCTTCTCAAAGCCTCCCTTCTGGGTCTATTGATGCTGGACCAGGAAGGTTTGGAGGGACAGAGGGTGAAGGCTGCCAGGCCTGTGGCTTCAAGTGACAGGGTAATGTTTCCATTTCTCACAGGCTGGTTCCCTGGCCTTCATGTTCTCGACTACCAAAGGGGCTCAGATGCTTCTTCCATAGGGTTTCTTGAGCATATAGAGAAAGCAAAGGTAAAAGTAAAGTAAACCTATTCTTTTGAGTCAGAAACACACCTTTTCTGGGAGATAGTGTCATGATAGAAAGAGTACTAGGTTTGGAGTGCAAAGACCCTGGCTTTGCTAACTACCCAACATGTATCTTGGCATAATGGGCCTTGACTTCCTCAGCTATAAAATGAGTTGCCTTCCTGACAATCATGAGATTCAGACCAAGTCCCATGCTCACCCCAAAATACGCAGGACAGGAGGGTTACAGTGTGCCTTGGGTGGACCTTAACATTATGCACACCATATCATTCCATACTCCAATGACCTTAGAGTGGATGCCATGATCTCTACTGGTCACAGATCAGAGAGCATGACTATCTGCCTGAGGTCACACTGCTAGGATTGCATGTTACCATCTGTCTCCTTCACTTTCACCACTGGACACTTGACTGGACCCAGTGTCATTTGTTGTTACTGATGCATAAGAAATACAGTAAGAACATTGAAGATAGAAAAAAAGCAGACAGAAGGAACATTGAGACCATAGACAAAGCTAAGAATGTAGCTCAGTTGGTCAAGAACTTACCTAGCATGCACAAAGTCCTGAGACTGATCACTGGCACCTCATTAATGGCACATGGTGGCTACACCTGTAATCTTAGCACTTGGGAGGCAAAAGCAGGAAAATCAGGAGTTCAAGGTCATCCTTGGCTATATAGCAAGTTTGAAGCCAGTCTGGGATATATGAGATCCTGCCTTAAAAGAGGATAGGAAGACCTTGGGCATCAGCCTAGGTCCCACAGCTATTTTCAGTATGAACTTGACCCTGAAGCAAGAGTATCATTCTCCTCTGTCTCTGTCTTTACTGCCCAGGAAGGGATCAGAAATTAGTGTCAAATCTACTATTCCAACCCAGCTGTGCACACTCAGAACCTGGCTCAGTCTCTAGGAAGCAGCTATGGGGCCTCTTTGGTCACCAGCAGAATCTGGGAAGAACCACAGGCCCCAGTCTCTTCTGCACTCCTGTCTTCTCGCTGCCCCCTTGCAAGAGGTCAGACTCACCATCTGCCCTCTTAGAGACATGCAGGCCACTCATTTAGCTGACACCTCTGGCTGCAGAAGTGTCATGCCCAGCAGGAGCTCCTCTGTCTTCCAACACTAAGATTCTCCAGAGGAGGAGGACACCTGGGTTAAAGACCTAAGAAGTGTGCCCTCAACCAGACTTGCTTGAGTGACTGGCCAACCACAGCCAGCTAGAGCAAAGAGGCTGGAGCAAAGAGGCTTGAATGCCTCCCTCCCTCCCTCCCTCCCTCCCTCCCTCCCTTCCTTTTCCTTTCTCCTGGCTTACAAAGGCAGCTGACTGTTGAGTCACCCAGGAGTTTTCAAACCTCTCAAACCCCTAAGCAACTGAACTGGAATTCCTGAAGTATGACTTGATGCCCCCCGAGGACTCCAACATTCAGCCAAAGTTAAGATCTAATGACTTAACTATCGTCTCCTTTTTTAAGATAGTAAGACCCCAGTCCAGGGCTAGGAACAGTGACCTAATAAAGCTAATAAAGTGGCCACACTGCAATCCTAGGCCATGATTCCTGGTTTAATCTGTGGGGTTGAGGCCGAGAGTGCACATGCTGCTGTGCTGTCTGTGGCAGCCCTAGGAACCAGCAGGAAGCCTTGTGCTCAGAGCTGGCCACTTGCCAAGAGCCTTGTGAGCACCATCAGCTTCTTGTACTGAAGTTCAACTCCAGGTGTGAATGGAAGATATTTCTGTGTCTCCTTTAAGTATATTAGTATATTAACTCCTCCTTCACCAGCCCTTCCTCTCCCCTGCCAGATCATTTTCTTTCAGAGCTGGCCTGTCTGATACTCACTTCTTTGTCTCATCATGGCCACATCCTGAATGGGGTTAGATTGCTCAGAACTGCAGCAGCTTTGGGAGTGACCCCAGATTTCTACCTAAAGTGTCCTATCTGACCTCCAGAATAATCCAGATTTTCTTCTGCTTTGAAATTATACAGTGCCTTGTCAAATACCAAGAGAAGAGGGCTCCTATCAGCAACCAGGGCTGCCACCTGTAGTGAGGCAGGTTGTGACTACACACCTCCAAGGCCTCCATTGAACAGTATCTTCCATGAGAGGACCTATACAAGGTTTTCCACACAGAAGCCTTATCTATCAAATTAAAAGGCTAGAAGGTTCACAATCCAGTTCTTAAATTGTGAGGACTCCCATGAGTCCTTCCTTCCTCATTCTGTACACACATGCACACACACACACACACACACACACACACACACACACACACACTCACACACATATACACTCACTCTCACACACACATACACACACTCACACATACACACACACACACACACACACACACCCCTACTGGAGTTCAGCACTTAGAGAGGCAAAGGCAGCTTCCTCAGCTGTGGCTGCCCTTTTAGAGATCCCTGCCTCATCACACACCATAGATTTAATTTAAGAAGAGTGGAGGGCCCAGAGAGATCCTTGAGCCAGGGCTTGCCGCTGGTGGACCTAGTGTGTGAGGTGACTCCATCTGCAGGGCCCAGGACAAAATAAAGGCCTACTCTTCAGCATGTATGAAGTATTTCAAGACAGTAACAACAGAAGGTTAAACCAGACAAGGCTTGTCTTCCCAGAGTGACCCTGGAAACCAAGACTGAGGAGGTGGCCTGGGGGTGAAGGTGGACAGCCAGGCCAAGCCAAGGCTTCTCTGGAATGTAATGGGAAAGTACCAAGCACCACGCTGAAAGTGAAGGAAATAAAAATTCCTAAGGCCTGTTGACCATTTCCCCTCCATAGCAGCCAGCATGACCTTTTAGAAATCTAATCTGCCTCACCCTTTCTCGGCCCTGAAGCCAACTGTCCACCCTCATTTCGAACACTCCACCACCAGATCTTGCCACTCTGGGCACACTGTGCCTTTGTGTTCCCAGAACAGACCCAGCTTGTTCAAGGTGCGGGAGCCAGACAGCTGTTCCCAGCCTGGAGCAGCTTCACTCTGGGTGCTCGGCTGAGCCCCGCCTCTTCACAGAGGCCCTCCCAGCTGATGAACTGGTCTCATTTGCAGTCTTTAGAGCTTAGCTCCCTGTCATGTACCTAGTGCTACCGCAACACCTGGCAAATGACAGGAATGCAAGCATCTGCAGAAGGCACGGCATGCCTTATCACACACTTCCTCAGTGGCCATTCCGGTTGTGCAAGGATCTAATTCTGTGTATTTATTTTGTGTCCCACCAAACAACTGAATTTCTCTCCTATTGTTTTACTGGGAATATAGGTATGTCTTTTTTGTTTGTTTTTTGGTTTTTGTTTTTGTTTTGTTTCTTGAGACAGGGTTACTCTGTGTAACAGCTCTGACTATTTTGGAACTCACTTTGTACATCAGGCTGGCCTCAAACTCACAAAGATCCACCTGCCTCTGCCTCCCACATGCTGGGATTAAAGGCATTTGCAACCACCACTGCCTGGCTATAAGTATGTCTTTTCAATGTTATTATTAAATAATTATAATATTATATTATATTATATTTTAAATATTATTGTTACATAGATTTCCAAATGTTATGCAACTTATTGCTGTTTACTGTCTTACCATGTTGGCAATATACAGTTAGTTCTTCAAAAGATGGTGTCTGCACTGTAAGGATTAAGATAAGAAGTACTCTACACTAGGAGGATTGGGGCACGAGGAGGGTGAGGTCAGAGAAAACAGGGAGTCAAGGAAGATATTGAAGTGTGGTGTGATGGCAGCCTGGACAGGATGGGAGCTGGGGACATGGAGAGTACTACAGAGATTGGAGAACTCAGTAATAGAGTATGTATCAAACAGAGATCTTTTATTATTATTTATTATGTATACATTGCTCTGACTGCATGTATGCCTGCAGGCCAGAAGAGGGCACCAAATCTCATTATAGATGGTTGTGAGTCACTATGTGGTTGCTGGGAATTGAACTCAGGACCTCTGGAAGAACGGCCAGTGCTCTTAACCTCTGAGCCATCTCTCCAGCCCCTCAAACAGGAAATCTTAAAGCTCCAATTTGGATCAAGGCATTCTGGTACATTGACTACCAGAAGATATGAGTCCATCAACTAAAAAAACTATGCCCCCTTGGTGGGCATGGAGGGAGGTGGTAATTTTCTAAAGTTCCCATTTAAAGTAACTAGAGGTGCTGGGGATGTAGCTCAGACAGTAGGGTACTTGCCTAGCATACATGAAGGCCTGGGTTTGATTCCTAGCACTGCTTAAACCAAGCATGATGGCCAGGCTTGTACTAGCAGATAACAGGTCCAAGGTCATTCTTGGCTACAGCACAATTTTGAGCCCAGCCTGGGCTACATGAAATCCTATCTCAAAAGCAAATAAATAACTAGGGTGCATTATGATCATTTTCTTAAGAACTAGAAATTAGAATATAAGCTAAAAACAAATTGCCTTATGAGAAAGATACAGAGAAAGGAAATAATTATTCTCATTTCAGAGATGCTTCCAAGCCAGGTGTGGTGGCACATGCCTTTAATCCCAGCACTCAGGAGGTAAAGGCAGGTGGATCTCTGTGAGTTTGAGGCCAGCCTGGTCTACAGAGCAAGTTCCAGGACAGCCAGGGTGACACAGGGAAACCCTGTCTCAAAAAAAAAAAAAAAATGCTTCTGAGAATGACAATTTCATAAAAAGCAGAAGGCAGAGGGCCTGCACAGGTCCAAGCCAGATGGGGTCCCCGTGTGGAGAGGGCAAGTGGACACAAGCTCTCATTCTTAATCAAAAAGCTGTCTCCAATTGACAACTGTTTGCACATGAAAAATTAGAATGAAACATGGAGTCTTACCGGGTATATGAACCACACTTAATGGAGGTCCCACACCCAGCAGGAGAAGGCTATCAGAAAGTGAACTCAGTAGTACTTCTATAGATGTTTTGTCTCATACCAATTGCTTTGTTTGTACACTTGTTATATTTTACTGGTCTCTGCTTGTACATAGTGGCTTCTGATTTTGTGTTTTTATGAGTTTGTGTGTGTGTGTGTATGTCTATGAGTCTATGTATTTCTTGTGATTTTTCTTTGTTTTTATTCAGATTTTTTTTAATTTGCCAATTTGTTTTTTCAAAGAGATGAGGGGGCCATGCGGGTGTGTAGCTGGAGAGTTTCTCTCCAGCTCCCATCCAGCCCCAGCAGTCCCACAGCCCACTTATAAAATAAACACACAGATGCTTATATTATTTAAACTGTTTGGCCTAATGGCTCAGGCTTCTTGCTAGCTGTTCTTATATCTTAAATTAACCCATTTCTATTAATCTATACCTTGCCACGTGGCTCTTGGCTCACCAGTACATTACATCCTGCTCCTCATGGCGGCGACTGACAGTGTCTCTCTATGCCCCAGGCTTCCACTTCCCAGACTTCTCTCTCTTTGTCCTGCCTATACTTCCTGCCTGAGTACTGGCCAATCAGCGTTTTATTTATCAATCAATCATCCACAGCATGGGTGTCATACAGGGAAGTGAACCACAAAGAGATGAGAATGAAAACCTGGTGCAGGTTGACTCGTCAATCTGAAGGATCAGACCTGGTCTAATTGCCAGACGGCTCGTTGTCAGCATATTTAAAATAGTGCTATTTGGGAAAAGGTTTCTGGGGATCAATTGGTCTAATCATTCCAATTCCAGGTGCACAATAAAGCTTAAGGCATGACTACACAGAGTCTTCTTTACACAGTACATGTGACCATGAGGGTGGGTTCTATAGCTAAAAGGCCTAGAATCTTGTGTGGTCTCTGACCGATAGCATAGAGGTCAGTAGGCCATAAAATACTTGTGACAACTTCTCTAAGGATAGGTAAAGGTCTACAGAGGAAAGTCTGGGGTAATCATTCTGGGGAATTAGGTGGGTGAGGTCTGCCTCCATAGATGATAGCAAAAGGTGGGTGAGGCCTGCCTCCACAGATAGCAAAAAGGTCACCAGGTTGTTAACAAACACTCTCAGCTTTCTGGATAGAATGCAGGTATTTGATTTGTATCTCCTCCATTGAGGAGACACCTCTGTGTGGTTAACATTCCTGGTTCTCTTAGTGCTGCCCTATGAGTACAAGGACCTCTGTGCCCCCAAAAAGACCTAGAGAAAGAAGGCATGGAGTTGGGTGGATAGGGAGGTAGGGAGGAGATGGGAGAGGGGAAACTGTGATCAGAATATATTGTATGAAAAAAGTATTTTCAATATTAAAAAAAAGCAGATATTTCTACACTCTGACACCTCACCTGGCTACCACCAGAAGACCTTCAGATGATTAATATTTTGCTGGGGTTGGAGGCAGGAGAACCATAAATTTAAGGTTACCTTCAACTATATAATAAGTTCAAGGCCAAAATCTAAGCTGAAAGAGGGACAGAGACAGAGAGAGACTGGGACAGAAGAGATGCAGAACCTCAGTGTGTGAGGCAGGAGCATTCGACCTCCATCACCACATGGAAACCAACTTTGTGCCAAGAACCCCAGACCAAAACCTCCAAAGTTCTGTCACCAACAACCAACACTCTCAGTGCCTCCTGGATATTAGACCAGACGCTGGCCCTGCCCACTGCACAGAAAGACCTGTCTCAGAAAAAGAGTGAGGATGCTTTCCCGAAAGCTGGGCTGAGGGATGCAGAACTTTCGCCTAATATTCATAGTAATTACTCTAAACCGCTAACAACCAGGCAGCAGCTGTCTCTTTCTGACTTTTTTTTAAAGAATTTTCTATGCCCTCTCTCCTCTCCCCTCCTCTCCTCTCCCCTCCACTCCTCTTCCCTCCCCTCCTCTCCCCTCTCTTCTCCTCTCCCCTCCCCTCCCTCCTCTCTCCTCTCCCCTCCCTCCTCTCTCCTCTCCCCTCCCTCCTCTCTCCTCTCCCCTCCCTCCCTCCCTCTCCTCTCCCCTCCTTTTCCCTCCCCACCCTTCCCCTCTTCTCCTGTCCCCTTCCTTCCTGTCCTCTCTCTAAAGCATTTCAAGAACAGGGAGCTGTCTGGGGCAAAGAAGCCTTTTTGCCTAAATTTGAAGCACACTGACAAAGTTCCGGGACTCTGGTAGAAGTGGGATCAAGAGCAGTCACACTTGAGCTTGGCAGACAAGATGACAGCCATCCCTTTGTCGCAAGGACACAGCAGCCCCTGCATTTCCAATATTGCTCTCTGCTGTGGAAAATGGGGAAAGCTGCATCCCTACCGGCAACTTGGGAACCATGGCTAGGGAGTGGGACAATAAGGAAAGATATTTTGTTTCTACCATAGCGTTTATCTAAATTGTCTTCAACCACTACAGATCACATAAACCACACACACACACACACACACACACACACACACACACACACACACACACCTTTACATCTTTTCCTTTTCTAGTACAAGCTTGTTGAAAAGCAGAAACTCAAACATAATCCCTTTTGTTTGGGGAATATTTTTTCTTCTGCCAGTGTCTTAGTCAGGGTTACTATTTCTGTGATGAAAACCATGACCTAAAACAACTTGGAGAGGAGAGGGTTTATTTGCCTGAGCCTTCTGCATCACTGTTATCATCGTAGGAAGTCCGGACAGGAAATCAGACAGCGTAGGAACCTGGAGATAGGGGTTGAGGCAGAGACCACGGATGCTCCCCATGGCTTGCTCAGCCTGCTTTCTTATAGCACCCAGGACCACCAGCCCAGGGATGGCACCGCCCACAGTGGGATGGCACATCCCACATCAGTCATTAATTAAGAAAATGGCCTACAACTCGATCTTGAGGACACATTTTCTCAGTCGAGGTCCCCCGCTCTCAGATAACTCTAGCTTATGTCAGGTCAACACTCAACTATCCAGCACAGCCAGTGACAGCCCTGCATGTGCACTTTGTTATGTGTGTATATGCAGATGTGTGTGTGTGTGCATACACATGTGCACTTTGTTATGTGTGTATATGCAGATGTGTGTGTGTGTGCATACACATGTGCACTTTGTTATGTGTGTATATGCAGATGTGTGTGTGTGTGCATACACATGTGCACTTTGGTATGTGTGTATATGCAGATGTGTGTGTGTGCATACACATGTGCACTTTGTTATGTGTGTATATGCAGATGTGTGTGTGCATACACATGTGCACTTTGGTGTGTGTGTATATGCAGATGTGTGTGTGTGTGTGTGCATACACATGTGCACTTTGGTGTGTGTGTATATGCAGATGTGTGTGTGTGTGTGTATGTGTGTGTGTGTGTGTGTGTGTGTGTGTGTGTGTGTGTGTGTATGCATACACATGTGCAGGCCAGAGGCCATCCTCAGATGCCATTCCTCAGGCGCTGTCTGCCTTGCATCCTGAAACAGGGTCTCTCACTAGAACATGGAGCTCACTGATTAGGATAGATAGCCTGGCCAGTGAGCTCCAGGGATCCACAGTGCTGATATTCCAAGCACACAACATCATGCCAAGCTTTTTCTGTGAGTGCTGGGAATCTAACTCAGGTCCTTATGCTTGCATGGCAAGCACTTTCGGAATGAACCATCTCCCCAGTCCTATGACAGCCCATATTTTGAATCTTGGTGTCATTTTACTTCTGTAACCCATGTACTTTATAAACATCATCTCCAGTAGTCACAACTTTTAACCTAGGTGTAATGACTGTTTCCCACAACAGGGAGGCAGAAAGCAAGATTCAGATGGTCAAATAGCTTACCCAAGTTGCTCAGAAGCCAAGATCCATATAAAAGGACCCCCACTAAGCTGTGCCCCAAGGAGTGGGTAGGACTGTGGACATCCTTGAAGTAACTTCACTACCCATCACTACAGCCTCAATGTACTCGGAGATCCAGAGGGAGAGGGCAGACATTGGGGGACTCATGGCTCGGCCAGAGTATAGAGAGTGGAATCCAGAGCTCATCAAACCCAAGAAGCTGCTGAACCCTGTGAAGGCCTCCCGAAGCCACCAGGAGCTACACCGGGAGCTGCTCATGAACCACAGAAGGTAGGATGGCACTCAGCTGCCTGGCCCAGCAATATCCTGCACAGGCCTGCTGTGCTTAGAGAAATGTCCCTAGGGAGGTTGGTGGGGCCATTGTCTGGAGCCCCACAGGGTCACCAGAAGAAACTGTGAGAACACAAAAGCCCCATTCTCCCTCCCAGCCACTCACTGCATGTTGAATGCCACAGATAGACATTTACTAAACACCTGTTGCTTGCAGGGCACTATGCCCACACCTAGGACACAAAAAAAGGAGGCCCAGTTCCTTTCCTCTCAGAGGAAAATGAATATCAGGCAGGAGAGTATGTGCCTTGATGGAGGCTTTAGAGGAGTGTGGGACTCCAGAAGAGTTACTGGGCGTGTGGGGCTGTCTAAATGACTTCATGAAAGAGAAGATACCTGGAAGGCCTAAAGCAGGGGCAGAGTCAGCCTTGATAGGAGATGGACTGTGTCAGCAGGGAGAACTAGAGAGCACACAGATGTTACTGAGGTATCGGGCAGTGGTGGCTCTTTCACAGCATGTTCCCCTATTGGTTGAAAGGATGGCAGTGAAACGGAGCCAAGGGGGAATCTGGGGAATGTCACATCTGCAATCAGCATTCATAGGATGTCAAGTGGAGGAGAGGGTGGCTGAGGAGCCACTGTGAGGATCCTGACCATATGGCCCAGGCTGAAGGTGGTGCTGCCACCTTCATGGCGCCCTCTGCTGGCCAGTTGTATTGGAGCTGGTTGTGATTTCCGTTCTGAGACCAACAGACAACAGATAACCCTTATACTCTGGGCTGTTTGTGGGTTTGTTTTCACTTAATATTGTACCACTATCATGTCCTTGGGTTTTTTTTATAGTATTCATTCACTAGAGTATTAATTATACCGCCACAATGAAAAACAGCTTCAATCAAACTGAAATATTTGCAATATAAGTAAATTATATTGAAAATTACATATACAGTATAAAATATTGAGATACTCACGTACCTTAGTCTACAAGGAAATAAACAAAATAAGAAGAATTAATTTGCAAAAGAAGAAATGCAAATGCTAGAAACATTTTAAGGGCCGTTGCATGTGACTCATAATCAAGGAAACATGAAAACCAGGCATTGTTTCTTGTCTCCTAGACTTAAAAAAATTTTTTTTGACTTGAAGAATGGGGATAAATAGATATCCTTGTAAGGAAATTAACTCCCAGGAGATTTCGAGAGAGCCCAGCCCAGCATTTCCATCCTTAGACGCTCTGGTAAAATATACAGCAACCACATGTCACCTGGTCTCTGCGGCCTGAACTGAAATTTTCTTGTTGCAGCCGCCACCTGCCTTGCTGTTCTAGAGGCAGCGGCCCTTTGCCTTTCTCTACGGCATGGGTCAGTGAGGACACCCCCCTCCAGTGTTGCCCAAGCAGTGTAGGAGATAATCGTGGGTTGGCGTCACCGCAAACTGCAGGCCCAGACTGGGAAGGTGGAAAAGGGAATCTCCTGATAGCTCCCCGTCCCACCCCCACCCCCAGGGGCCTGGGTGTGGACAGCAAGCCTGAGCTGCAGCGGGTCCTCGAGCACCGTCGCCGGAATCAGCTGATCAAGAAGAAGGAGGAGGAGCTGGAAGCCAAGCGACTTCAGTGCCCCTTCAAGCAGGAGCTGCTGAGAAGGCAGCAGAGACTCAACCAGGTGGGTAGGAGGTACCAGCTCGTCCCAAGGGGAAGTCGTCATAGCGCCAGGAATCTTCCTCTGGCCTGCTGTGCGAGTCTAGTACAGTGACTTCACTTCTCTGGCCCTGCTTTCCTCTAAGGTCCGTATCCGCAAGTTAGATCTGATGATCATCTGCCCTGAGAGTAGACGCCATTCCATTCCTCTGGGGCCGAGGCCAGAGGAATAAACTATCTGAACCAGGCTTCCCAAGGAGAACCCAGTCTCTTGCTCTGTCCCTGTGTGGGTACAGAGGGCACTCACTGAGATTTCCAGGTTCTTGTGTCCTGGGAGAATTGGCCCGGGACATGGATAGTAGCGGAGAAGAAGTTCATTAAGGAAGAGGAAAGCACTCACGAATGGACGTGGGCTAGAGAGCTGGAACAGGTCCAGGGTTCGAAACCCCAGGCTGCAAACAGCCTGACCCTTGAGAGGTCATTTACACATGACCCCACACCCTGTCCATATTCAGAGATGGTGGAATTTCCTCATGAATACTGTTTTGATAATGTTTTCTGAAGTGAGGGTAGATTTTTTTTTCCATGTTAATCGTGATGATCTCAGCGTCCTGATACACCACCACCACCCCTACCACCACCGATTTGGGATGGTTTGTAAAACTCACCATTTATAGGACCTTTGGTCCAACACCATGGCTTTTGAAAATAGGAGCGCCCACCCCCAGCCCTTCCAAATTCACCCATGTGTCTCTCTCCTCCAGCTGGAAAACCCACCACAGAGAGAAGAGGACCACGCCCCTGAGTTCATCAAAGTCCGGGAAAACCTGCGCAGAATCACCACGGAGGAGAGAGCACTGTAGAGTTCCCTCCACTCAGCTCCTGCCACTCACTCTGGTCCAGACTTCCTCCAGACCTCCTGAACCAGAAGGCCCTGGCACATGGTGATGCGGGCAAGGCAGACCTGAAAGGCTGACTGTCCCTGGGAAGCTGGGGAACTCGCACCCCATAGGAAAGCCTCTGTACGGTCTTTTCCTTCAGAGCACCTAGCCTCCCAGTGCTAAGAGGAAGTCACTGCCAGGAAAGACTTGCCCAAGGTGCCCTCCCTGATCCGACTCACTGAGTAGGCTTCCTTAGCAGAAGTGGGAAGGAGGGCCAAGTGTCCCTCCATTTTGCCTTAGCTTCCCTAACAAGCCCCTGCTTTGGGGAGCATCTCAGCTCGGGACTGACCTGAGGCCAAGAATGTCTTGGAAACCACAGAGCAAAGAAGGGATCTGTCTGTGGCAAGGAAGGGCGTGGGAGGCCACAGCAGGCTGTGGCCAGGTGGGAGAAGTCCTAACCAAGGCAGCTTCGGGCCTTGCAGGCTTGCCTCATGCTTCAGCCTTTTTCCTCCTCTCCTGCCCTCCATGAATTGCCGACCACATCTCACCTCAGTGCTCCAGCTTCCAGCTTAGAACAGGGCATAGCCAACTTTATTGTACATACAAATCAGAGTCCTGTAAACAGTCCCTGGAAGCTACAGGTCTAACACTCTCCCAGGGGAAAGCCCAGGACACTGGTTTGAGTAGATAGCTAGGATGCAGCACCCAAGAGTGGTGCAGTTTAGAAATATCCAACTCTCTTGGCTCCCTGGCCTGGAGGTCCCCAGTGCCATCTCTAAAGCCCCCAAAATTCTTCACTCACTATCCATACCCCCCCCCACACACACACACAGGGATCATTGGCCTGGAAAACTCTAGCCCAGCAAATCCAAATGTTCTTCTGATTATAACTGCCAATCTTTGGTCTTTACTGGTGTAACCACAATACAATTCTAGCCAAAAAATAAAAGAAAAAAAAACTTAGCTTTTTGGAAAACAGATATACAATTCCCAATCAGCTCTGGAAAGAGATGGTAGTTTGAACACCCCACTGCCATGGTGATGGAATGGCCGCTTAGGGTCAACATTGCCAGCCACTGTCACCTGAGACCCCCCAGTCTGGATCATCTCCACTTCTTCCTCCTCAAAAGCCTCTTCCTGTGTGAATCTTTTGCTCCTATACCATTTTGAAGATCTACAGCAAGACCTGAATCTTTTCCCTAAAGAATGAAACCCATGCTTCAGCTTTCAAGCCCTTTTTAAGAGTCGCCTTGGTTGTGGTGTCTCTTCACAGCGATAAGAACCCTAACTAGATAACTAGACAGCGTCAGTTAGGAAATGTGAGCAACAGACTTACAGCACTGCCAGAGAAGTGCAGATCTTCCTGTGAGCATGCTGGGTGCTCTGGCTCCAGGAAATGATGGCAGCGAGCAGCAGGGTGTGGGCTTGACAGTGAATGGAGAGTCTATCTCTTTCCTGTGCATGATGCCAGCATAGATGTGTAAATAGAAATTCTTTCATTCTCTCTCTCTCTCTCCCCGCCCCCCCCCCCGTGTGTGTGTGTGTGTGTGTGTGTGTGTGTGTGTGTGTGTGTGTGTGTGTGTGTGTGTTTGTGTTTTCCAGATCTAGAGGTCTAAATGCAGTGAAGCTGTCTTAGGTACCTGCTGGTGAGGTGTTATGCTGAATATGTGTGTTTCCTAAATAAAGACAGTGTTGAGGGTTGTGACTGTACAGGTTTATGTGCTGTTCTGACGCGTAAAGAGAAGCAAGACAGGACATCAGGGATAGTGTAGGACCACCCAAGGGTCCTAGCAGTCCCTGGAGGAAATGGAAAGTCACAGATATGATACCCCAAAAGCACAAGGGACCTTAAGGCAGGTCATTCAGGAGAACCATGGCAGACACTTTGATGTTCTGTGAATCTGTTAGATCCAACTCCATCTTTCTCACCACCTCCCACCAGAGACTATAAATATAGATTCTCACTCTCTCAGCCTTCTCTGCAGGCTTGGGTGACCATGTGACAAGATATGGCCAATGAAATTGAAGTAGAAGTCTCAGGAGCTACTAGAAAATCCCATGCTTTGCTGAGAGCCTCCCTCTGCCTCACCCTTCTTCCTGCTTGACTAGGAATGTAATGCCTGGAACATTAGCAATCATGTTTCACTGAGGAAAAGGCCAAGAGATCTATAGACCTTGTGATCATTTGACCAAGCAAGTGCCAACAGCTCTCCATGTCCAAACTCCTTGAAAATAAAAATAAACTCCTGTTTCTTTAAGCCACTGTAAGTCTGTTACTCACATTTCCTAACTGACACTGTCTAGTTAGGGTTTTTATTGCTATGAAGAGACACCACAACCAAGGCAACTCTTATAAAGAAAACATTTAGTTGCGGTGGCAGCTTACAGTTTCAGAGGTCAGAGGTTCAGTCCATTATCATCTTGACAGGGAGCATGGCAGCATGCAAGCAGACGTGGTGCTAGAGGAGTAGCAGAGAGTCCTACATCTTACAGGCAACAGGGAGTCAATTGAGACACTGGGTGGTATCCTGAGCATAGGAAACCTCAAAGCCTGCCCCCATAGTGACATACTTCCTCCAACAAGGCCATACTCACTCCAAGAAAGCAACACCTCCTAAATAGTGCCACTCCCTATGAGATTATGGGGGCCAATTACATTCAAATTACCACATTCCACTCCTTGGCCCCCATAAGCTTGTAATAATATCATGATGCAAAATGCATTTAGTCCAACTTCAAAGGTCTCCATAGTCTATCACAGTCTCAACAATATTTAAAAGTACAAAGTTCAAAGTCTCTTCTAAGATTCGTGCAATCTCTTAACTGTAATCCCCTGTAAAATCAAAATCAAAAAGCAGATCACATACTTCCTACATATAATGGCACAGGATATACATTACCATTCCAAAATGTAGGAAAGGGAGCATAGTGAGGAAAAACTGGACCAAAGCAAGACCAAAAACCAGCTGGTCAAACTCTAAACTCTTCATCTCATATCTGATGTCAAAGTGCTCTTCAGATCTCCAACTCCTTTCAGCTTTGTTAACTTCAACACATTTCTTTCTTTGGCTGTTTCCACTCTCTGTTAGTAGCTCTCCTCGGCAAGTATTCCACGACTCTGGCATCTCTAACATCTTGGGTTCTCCAAGGCAATCCAGGCTTTAACTTCACAGCTTCATGCAATGGCCTCTCTACTAGGCCTCCATTCAGGGACACTCTTGACACATTCCTGGTCTCAGTAACTGTCCTTAGGCATAGAGGCAAATTCCATAATCCATTTCTTTTATCCTTAACTCTAAAGCCAGAACCATATGGCTGAAGCTGCCAAGTTCTGTTACTTACTGGGATTGGAACATGGCCCCTTCATTCAATTACATCTTCGCCAGCTTTCTGTCCTTCACTACCTAAGCTTGGCCATCCTGAAACTGGATTTCTAGACCAGGCTGGCCTCAAACTCAGAAGTCTTCTAGCCTCTGCCTTCCCAGTGCTGGGATTAAAAGTGTGCCCACCACACCCAGCTCTAAGCTTTTCTTTAGTTTCTTTCCACAAGTTGGAAATTTGGCTAGGTTGGATCTTGCTCTGAGATCACCACTCCCTTTATTTCTTAATTTGTTTATCTCCTTGAGCACAGCACTTAAAGCCATTCCTTTTCTCCTCAAATTGTACATTTTATTGCTCCTTTTCATTATAAATTTCCATTAGAGTTACTATTAATAACCATATGACAGAGTCTATACTAGGCTCTTTTGAGATTTCTTCTGCTGATGGAATTAATCCAAAACTCTTCACTTTAGCCTCAGGCAGACTCTTTGGACAAGGGCAAAAAGAAGCCATTTTCTTCACCAAAGTATCTCTAGGCCACATACTAACATTCTTCTCCTCTGAAACCTTTTGATCCCCACCATTTACCAAATCACATTCAGCACCACTGTCTTCCATGCTCCTACTAGTATGGACCATTAAGCAGTGCTTAAAGCATTCCACTGCTTTCCTAACCCAAACTCCCAAAGTCCATATTACTCCAAACAAAAATATGATCAGGCCTATCACAACAATACCCCAGTGCCTGAGACCAACTTCTGTCTTAGGGTTTTTATTGCTGTGAAGAGACACCATGATCCTGGCAACTCTTATAAAGAAAACATTTAATCTGGAGTGACTCACAGTTTCAGAGGTCAGAGGTTCAGTCCATTATCACTATGGGGAGCATGGCAGCATGCAGGCAGACAATGTGCTGGGGCAGCTGAGAATCCTACATCTTTAAGGCAATAGGAAGTCAACTGAGACACTGGCCAGTGTCTTGAGCATAGGAAACCTCAAAGCCCACCCCTACAGTGACATACTTCCTCCAATGAGGCCATACTCACTCCAAGAAAGCCTATGAGATTATGGGGGGGCCAATTACACCCAAACTACCACAGACACAAAAGGCTAGCCTTGGTCTGTCTGTCCAGAAATCCCTGTAAGCAAGGCTAACAACTTAATTCCCTCTTTTCCAACAGAAGCCTGCTGGGACTGGGTCCACTGCAGGGCCTGCCACACACAATCTGATATTGCACACCTGATTCCAGTCTACAACTGGAAATCATCATCATTGATCCCATTCCCTGGTGCCAGGAAGCATGCCATGTGTTTTCTGGGAAGACCCTGGATTAGTACAGAGGCCTCATCCCTGTTGCTGCCTTGCCCTGTGCCTCCTCTATAAAGCAGAGACATTCCTGTTACAATGTTAAGCAGATTTTGCCATACTGCATAGATGCCCCTGCTGGCTCCCAGGCCAGCGTTTCAAGCAATCTGGAAGGCTTTATGTGTCCAGTTCCGTCTCCACCCTGACCTTCCACTGTGGCAGTCTGCCTGGCCTCCTGGCACTGCCCAGCAAGCCCCACCTCAATACCTGCCCCCCAGGAATAGCCTTTCCAGGAGCCACCCAGTACACACCTCATTTTCTTCAAGGTCCCATCTTCAAAACTTTCCAAAAGAAGCCCCAGCTAAAATGTTGGCATCTACATCTAACAAAAGTAGGTAAGGAAGGACCATCTCAAAATGCACCAAAATGGCATACTGATCATTTGGAGTTCCTGGAGGAACTACTCACTATTCACAGGTATCTACCCAGAACACATGCTTCAGGACAGCTATGAAAGCAGCCCATCATAAAACCATAAACTTACTTAAAACATGAGATTTTCGTGTGTTGATTCCATTGTGTGGTTCTCCAGCATAAACTGCAAATGATAACATCATGTCACAAAGTCCAGAGGTAGAACTCCCTAACAACTTCAGAAAGGGCCAGTTGTCCTGTCATTTCCTACAAGCCTCACACTATAAATGTTCCATGGGGAGAAATGTTTTCCCCACAAGACATCAGCACCTGGGTTATCCCAAGCCTGAATAAATAACTTTTCTTCTGCCTGCTTTTATAGGCTCCCAGATGTCTAGTGACATCTCTAGAGTTTACTGCCCCTAGTCCAGAGATCTGTGTTCCATTAGACTTTACAGGCTACTGTATATTGCATAAAAAGTCTAAAAGCATCATGCATTGGTCATTTCTTCACACTTCACTTTCTTGTGAAAATCCTCACGTGCACATAAAGGTAATAAGTGGTGTGTTTTTTTTCTTCTTAATCTTGTATTAATTCAGTTCCAACCTCTCCACTGTCATCAAAATTAGCCAAGTGTGGTGTCATGCACCTTTAATCCCAGCACTTAGGAGGCAGAAGTGGCAGATCTCTGTGAATTCGAGGCCAGCCTGGTCTACAGAGGGAGTTCCAGGACAGGCTCCAAAGCTACACAGAGAAACGATGTCTTGAAAAACCAGAAAAAAAAAAAAAAAGAAAGAAAGAAAGAAACTCTAGTCAGTCAACATTGTGTTGTAGCCACAGCTATCCAGGTACTTCAAATCTGAGTGACTAAGGCCCAGGAACACAGATTCCAGGTACCCTAAGCCTCATGTACCCCAGAGGTAACTCATTCTTTTAAGCAGAAGGAAGTTGCTTTGCCTTGATGGGCCTCAACAAAGCCTAGATGCCTTCATATTTTTTTTTGGTAATTTAAATCCTAAGGAGTGAGTAGCAAAGCTGATATTTGCCTTTCTGCTGTTATTGGGGTTGGAGAGGATCAATGGCCCCCAAGGCTGTTAATCCCTATTTCTCAATTTCACAAATCAAAACCCTAAAATTATTTAGGAACCAGACCAGGAGTAAAGGACTCCAAATGTTTTTGGCATTTCTGGACTTCATCCAAGACAGAGCAAAGGACATTTTTGGCTTTTGGACAAGGATACAAATCAAGGCCCCTATCTCTAAATATTCTGCCCCATTTCTATCTTTCTTTTTTATCATTCCTCACTGTCTTAGTTAGGGTTTCTATTGCTGTGACAAAACACCAAGACCAAAAACAAGTTGAGGAGGAAAGAGTTTATTTGGCTTATACTTCCATATCTCTATTCATCATTGAAAGAAGTCAGGACAAGAACTCAAACAGGGCAGGATCCTGGAGGCAGGAGCTGATACAAAGCCATGGAGGGGTGCTGCTTGCTGGCTTGCTCCCCATGGCTTACTCACACTGCTTTCTTACAGAACCCAGGACCACCAGCCCAGGGGTGACACTATTGGGAATGGGCAAAAAGCACCTTGTCCTAAGAACTGCCATTTTGACTTCAGGCTCCATTTTACCAGTAGGGTGAAACAAAGTTCAGGTTCCCAAGCCCTAGGGAAGCTGGGAACCTTCCAATGGCTGACCCACCTCCTCCCTAAACCATAGAAATAGTCATTATACATATTAGAAACATTTTGGCTGTTCCTAACAAGAGAAAGAACAAATAAATCTGATTGGTTGGATTGAAAGCTGGCATTCCATGTTGGTTGACACCTGATGGGACACACGGGGGAAGCCCCTAATCTTTGAATCCTGATTGGTGGGAAAATGGAACCGTAACTTGGCAAGGATATTTGTGGGTTTTGTGCTTAAGTACTTGCTGAAATGTACATTTTGAGATCACAGTTCAGCTCCCAAGTCTGTTTTGCCAGCCTGATGGATCAGTTTTCTGTAGTGCTGCTCAGTAATAAATCTTGCTTTGCAGAACCTCTTGGGTCTGCTTGGATTGATTCGAAGCCTCGGACCACAACAGCACCATCCACGGTGGGCTGGCCTTTCCCCCTTGAATCACTAATTAAGAAAATGTTCTGCGGCTGGATCTTACAGAGGCATTTTCTCAATTGAGTTTCCCTCCTTTCAGATAACTCCAACCTACGTCAAGTTGACATAAGACTAGTCAGCACACCCACTCTGAAGAAGAAACCCTAACTGCCATTAGGGAATTTAGATGACTCCCAACCTGGCTTCTGTCTATTGGGTGCAGTCATCTGTCTGGTGGGCCTCTGCAAGGGTCCTTAAAACCAGCCAGCCAGGTACAGTGAGAAAAGGAGGTCACCAATAGACACCTGGATAGAGATGAGGGTAAAGAATAAAATTAAGAGGGATCTGGGAGAGTAGGCATTGAGTAAGTGGGGTGCAGAGGGTTTTAGCGATCCCACTCTTACAGACTTTCAAGCCTCAGAGGTTGATCAAGGGGATTCAGGTAGATAATTAGACTTTCTTGGGGCAGACTCCTAGCCAGGTGATCCACAGCTGGTTAACTCCTGAGGTGACAATAATATGGAATGTTGCAATGTTAGGTAGCTTGGAAATCAGGTCTCCACCCAGAGCCAGAGGCCTAACTTTGATTCCAATCTCTTGAGCAGGAGGAAGTAACTTGTCTTGAATAGGTGTGAGGTCCAAGCTCCATGCTAGAAAAGGAAGAGTGTCATAGGAGGCTGAGATGTTGAGAAGTTGAAGGAAGATTAAGATATATTTCATTAACCAGCACACAGACTGTTAGGCAGGCAGCTCCTGGCGGGTACCCAGACAGGCACAGCCTGCGTGCAGACCAGCATGTAGGCCCTACGGAGTTAGGCATACAGGTTTACAGACAGATATACACAGATGGTAAGCAATGGCAAAGGCTCAGACTTCTGCCTTTAAGCTCATATTTATATGGAATCCACACAAAAGTGTCATTCTGCTAGAACTGGTTGTCTAACAGTTGACATCACTATCTACTTTGGGGTTCCCTGAACATTCAGTGACAGCCATTATGTGCTGACTCATAGTTATGCCCAACTCCAATAACTATTCATTCATTCATTTATTTGTTTGTTTGTTTGTTTATTTATTTGCTTACTTATTTACTTATTTGGTGTTTTGAAACAGGGTTTCTCTGTGTGTAGCCCTGGCTGTCCTGGAACTCATTCTGTAGACCAGCTGGCCTCAAACTCAGAGATTCACCTGCCTCTCCCTCCTGAGTGCTGGGATTAAAGGCCTACATCACACCACCACCACCACCCTGCCACCCAACCCAACACCCCCACACCCTCACTTTCAATAGCTATCTTGATCTATGCTGGATATCCACATCAGCATCATGTTGTCTAAACATAAATTGGTCCCTTAAGGCCCTCGGTTCCCAGCAATGGACCTCAATAAATAGCAGACAACTCCACCTTGTTATATAATAATTTAAATCCTAAGGAGTGGTGATGCTGATGTTTACCTTTCTAGTGTTACCAAGGAAACAGGAGGTAGGATCCATCCTCACCTCACAGTAATAATTTAAAAATGAATACACTAAACCAGAGTTGTGGGTACATACCTTTGATCTCAGCACTTGGGAGGTGGATCTTTGTGAGTTGGAGGGCAGTTGCACGTACACAGTAAGTTTGAGAACAGTCAACCTTACACAAAGAGACGTTATTTCAAAAATCAAAAATAAGAGAGAGAGAGAGAGAGAGAGAGAGAGAGAGAGAGAGAGAGAGAGAGAGAGAGAATTGGGAGGGTGGGGAGCACTATGGTCTCAGAAACTAGGAATCAATGAAGAAGAATGAGGCAGTTGTTTGGGGATAAGAAATTATCAGGCAAAGTATTAACTTCATAGACAGACAGCAGCATCGTGGGAGATCTTAGAAAAGTTCGGGCCCATGAGGCAGAGTAGGGATTGTTATGATATTTTGCACACGGGAGTGGAACCCCCAGCTGTCTGTGGTATCTCACACACGAGGGAAAACATGCCAGCATGCTGGGCAGATGCAGCAGTGGATGGTGGACGAGACACACCATGTGGGCATGGCAGCAGTGGTGGTGGTGGCAGACATTCATTTGCGAAAAGAGTTTATTATAATAGGAGATAAAGAGACAAAGACAGAAGGGAGAGAAAGGAACAGAGAGATGGGGGATCGAGGGTGCACACTCATGGCAGGGAAGAAAGAGAGAGCAGAAGAGAGAGAGAGGGGAAGGGGAGGGGTTTTTCCTTAAAATGAGGCTTTTATGTCAGGACACAGAGCGATGCCAAGAGGCGGGTCAGAATATTAACGTTCCTCCGTTTTGATTATTATAAAAAAAAGGTGAGTTATGGGAACAAGTGAGGGAACAAGGGTGCTGAATTTTCAAGACTGCTTCAAGCTGGCCAGGGGCAAAGTGGGGAGGTGGAAGCCTGGAGTCACACACGGCAGGAGGTGTGAGTGATTAAGCAGCTTTCAAGTGTGGAGATCTCAGGCATCTATTCCTTGAGGGAATTGAGAAGGCAGGTTGCAGCAGTGATGTTCCGGGAGGGGGAACTGCACACCAAATCAGGAGTACAGGAACCATGGCATCTGCTGTATCTTTGGATGTCAGGAAGGAGGAGTGAATCTGCAAAATATACTCGACAAATGGGTGGGCTCAAAATGGGCTCTGGAGATGGTTAGTTTTCATCAGACCAGATTCTTAATACAGTAGCAGAACTTTCCCCAGGAATCTGCAGGTGTCTGTAAGACAAGTGGAATAGATTTAGCAAAAGGCTCATGTCTTTGGATTTAAAGGTATGAACATTTTCTGGCTTCAGCCCAATAATATCTTTAAATCTATAACATGAGGAAATTTACTGAATGGAAGTGGTTGAGTGAGTGAAGGAAGAGGAGACTTCGCTAAACATCATCAGATCTGAGAAGGATATGTAAGTGAACAGAAGTGAGGCAGGTTTCTTGTCTTTATATAAACAAACCAGGATACACTGAGTGCAGTCAATAGTAAAAAGTTTCATTGAAATCTGTTCTGTGAGTTTATCTGATCTGGTAACAAGGTAATGTCTAGACCTAGCAGTAGCCCTAGGAGAGGGAGACCTGTAAGTTTTACATAGAGAACTGAGAAGGCAGCTGAAGCAAAGCCTGGTCATGAAATGGAATCAGAGATCTGAGAAGGATAAATCATATCAGAGTGCAGACCAAGCAGCTTTCGAATCTAGCTCAGTCAGTAGAGCATGAGATTCTTAATCCCAGGGTCGTGGGTTCAAGCCCCACATTGGGTGCCAGATGAAAGATGAATTGCTAACCGGTCTTATTAATAAAAAACCCAGAGCCAGATATTGGAGTGAAAACTGAGAGATCAGAGAAGCAGAAAGAAGCCAGCCACATTCTTATCGCTCAGAAATCCTCAGGCAAGAGATAGCTACTTCCTGTATACTCATGCCTATGTCCTTTCTCTGCCCTGCCATCTCACTTCCTCTCTCCACCCAGCTACATCACTTCCTCTCTGTCTGTACACACCTCCAGACCTCTATGGTTAGCTAGTGCTGGGAATTAAAGGCATGTGTCACCATGCCTGGCTCTGCTCCCAGTGTGGCCTTAAACTCACAGAGATCCAGATGAATCTCTGCCTCCTGAATGTTAGGATTAAAGGTGTGTGCTACCACTACCTGACCTCTGTAAAAAAATGTCCCATTGAACATGTGGTATAACCCTAGCCTCTTAATGTTTGACAGACAATAATCTGTCATCTGAACAATCTTGCCACTTGAAACTTTGGTATTGATCTCTGTGCCCTGACAAAATAAGTATTCTGTTATATGTGAGATACATTTGTACATAATGTCTATAATAACTAACACTCACTCTAGACTTCTAAGAGATATAAAATTTAGGGTTTTGCCAATGCTGTGGCCCTTTTACCCTACTGAGCCAAAGATCCTAAATTGTACTTCAGTAGGAAAGTTGACTTAATACACACACACACACACACACACACACACACACACACACACACAAACTTGTATATAATTCTTCTGTGCAATAATGCTAGTCATCACTGACTCTTTTATATATGTATTACATAATTCATTTAAGATATAAAGCTTTTAAAAACCACTTTATTGAAATGATGTCCTCCAAAGTAGCAATGTTCATAGAACTAACCTTTTTCCAGCTTTATGTTTGTGTAATCTTGATCATATTGTGACTACTCTTTTTAGCCAGTGTAAGGCAAATAAACCCTTTCCTCCTCAGTTTCCTTTTTGTCATGGTCTTTCATTCATCAAAGCAATAGCAGCCCTAAGACAGGGAGACAGGGAGGAATTCCCTTGTCAACCCTCTGTGATCTTCCACAAGCTGCTTCTCTTTCCCATGCAGGCTTGGGTTTCTCCATTCTGAGTGGGGTTAGCTCAAGCTATGCAGTTTGCCCTAAGGACAAGAAGAATCAGGGCTAGTTTCTAGTCTGCTGTGCCATTGCTCAGGTTGACTTTGGATGTAGCTTCTGTTATTGTCTCTCATTCAGCCATAATCAGCTGCTGAGTACTTGTGTTGGACAACAACACTTCCTGGTTACTTTTGCATTAATTTTATACACCACTTACTCTGTAAACTTTCATATAACATGTAAAGTTCACATACATAGCAATATATTGTGGTGATATTGTGTTCCTCAATATATCATGCACCCTAATACATTTTTCTGGGTCAGAGAACAGAACAGCCACTAGACAGACATAGAGGCCAGAAAATGGTGACACTCACACCTTTAACCCTAGCATTCCAGAGGCAGAGATCCGCCTGGATCTCTGTGAGTTCAAGGTCACACTGGAAACAGCCAGGCATGGTAACAAGAGCCTTTAATCCCAGGGAGTGATGGCAGAAAGCAGAAAGGTATATAAGGCTTTGAAGACCAGAAACTAGAAGCTTTTGGCTGGTTAAGCTTTTAGGCTTTTGAGCAGCAGTTCAGCTGAGATCCATTCTAGATCTAGTCTGAGGAAACAGGATCAGCTGAGGAACTGGAGAGGTGAGGTGGCTGTGGCTTGTTCTGCTTCTTTGATCTTCCAGCATTTACCCCAATAACTAGCCTTGGGTTTGTTTTTATTAACAAGACTCTTTTTCAGATTCATGCTACAATATATACTTCTGAAAATCATAGATGTGTAAGACATCATTTCAAAAGCGTCTTTAACCTGAAACCTTGTCTTTTTAGCGAATCATAGAATGTTTCTAAGAGCAGAAGAGCAGCTTCAGGGTGACAGAGACAAGGGAAGGACTTACAGGCGCACATTGATCTGCATTTTCCCAGGTCTCCAACAGACAAAATATACGAACACAAATTATGATTATTATTTTATTATTTTGGTTTTTTGAGACAGGGTTTTTGTGTGTAACCTTGGCTGTCCTGGGAGTAGCTCTGTAGACCAGGCTGGCCTCAGAGATCCACCTGCTTCTGCCTCCCGAGTGCTGGAATTAAAGATGTGAACCACTGTGCCTGGCTCAACAAATTATTTTTAAATAACTATTCATACTCATCTATTTCATCTTTTATGAGCCAAGAAGCTGAACGGATGCCTTCTTAGCATCCTTATCCTCATGGTTCTGAACTGTTGATGACATAGCTAATGGAGATTGGAAAAGAAAAATTAATTTTTTGTTTAAAATGTTTATTGCATTTGTTTATGTAGGTATAGGTACGTCGTGGCGCACACACTGGGAGCAGAGGACTACTTTCAGGAGTTGGTTTTCTCCTTCCATCATGTGTTTCTTGAGGCTCGAACTCTGCTTGTCAGACTTTGCAGCAAGTACCTTTACCCATGAGCCACCTCAGTGGCCCAGAAACACCAAATTTTAAATGTCGTTTGAGCATTCATTACTTACATTTTTGATTTTGAAAGGTTTAATTGCATTCAATTTGTATGTTTGTTTGTTTATTTATTTAGAGACAGGGCTTCTCTATATAACAGTCCTGGTTGTCCTGGAACTCTCTGTAGACCAGGCTGCCTGGCCTTGAACTCAGAGATCCACCTGCCTCTGCCTCCTGAGTGCTGGCATTAAAGGCGCATGTGCTACCACTGCCTGGCCTGAAAAGCTATTTTTATTAAAATAACAAGATGAAGTTCTTTTAAGAAATTATTATTTATTTTTATGTGTGTGGATGTTTTACCTGCATGTGTGTTTGTGCAGCACATGCACATAGTGCTCATGGAGGACAGAAAGGGCACTGGATCCCTGGGACTGGAGTCACAGAGAAGTGTGGGCTCTTGGGAATCAATGCTGGGTCCACTGCAACAGCAGCCAGTGCTTTTAACCACTGAGCTATCTCTCCAGCAAATGAAAACTTACAAAATTGGTTGATTAGTCACATGTAATCTCTACTGAAATCTCTAATTCATATATACACGAAGATGAGAACTCAAGACCCATAAGCACAACAATCCTTTCAAAGCAATTAACAGCTCAAAATACTAAAATGTCATCAAATCTTGGAGAAGAGTGTTCAAAAGGTAGATAGCAAGAATGGAGAAAGCATTTATAAAATTGGGTTTGATAAGAAAGCTTTTGTTAGGTTTGGGCTAGGGGTTTGGTTAGGCACTCCTCAGGCTCTCTCTCTCTCTCTCTCTCTCTCTCTCTCTCTCTCTCTCTCTCTCTCTCTCTCTCTTTCTTACCTCATAGCTGCTATAAGAGAAATGGCAGACACCCTACTGAGAGTCCCTTTGTAAGTCTGTGATTCTCAAAGGGAAATTATGGAGGGCCTAAGCAAACAAAGGCTGCAGGGACACATCAAAGAGGGTGTGTCACATAACCAAGGGGTCAAAGCTCAGTTCCTTTACCATTGCCTGGGAGTATAAGACACTCTGACTACAAGCACATACTCTGGGCTACTCACCAATTCCATGACATAGAACCTCCCCCTCTCTTTGAAACCTGTAGAAAGGCACCCCTGTTAATATTCTGACCCGCCTCTTGGCATCACTCTGTGTCCTGACATAAAAGCCTCATTTTAAGGAAAAACCCCTTCCCTTGCCCTCCCTCTCTTCGGCTCTCTTTCTTCTCTGCCATGAGGTGTGCACCCTTAACCTCCCCCATCTCTCTCTTCCTCTCTCTCCCTTCTGTCTCTTTATCTCCTATTATAATAATCTCTTTCTGCTCAGATGCAGAGCTTGGGTTGTGAATGAATGTCTACCTGCCGCCACCACCATGCCTTCATGGCGTGTCTCATCCATCACCCACCGCTGCATCTGCCCAGAATGCCAGCATGTTTTCCCTCATGTGTGGGATACCCTGGCCAGCTGGGGGTCCCCCAAATGCAAAATATCATAACACTGGTGCTAGTGACTTGGCAGAGGTCCTCCTGGTGCATTTCTTCTGCCTGCTGGCAGTCTGAGACACACTAGGAGCCCTAGAACCTTCAACACTCACTTCAGCCAACACTGGCATAATCGGTAAGACCCCCTTTTGGTAAGCCTCCCTTTGGGCCATTTTCCCACAAGTGAGGATTCATCTCATTTCACTCACTGGCAACACATGTCTTTCGGGCTTTAAGCCCTTCAGCCCCTGTCCCTACACAACGGCACATGGAGACAGCCTGTGCCCACTCCATTCCACGGCCCACAGCCTTTGTGACGATGGTCCACTGGCTATCTTGCACTGTTCGTCAGTCCTCCCTGACCCCCTGGGACGCTGGAGGTCAGTCTGATGGATATGGTGATATTTTATTTGTGCTGAAATGTGATTTTATTTGTATGTTAATAAATAAAGTTGCGGGGGTCAGAGCTAATAGCAAGCCACTTAGCAGAAGTCTGGCAGTGGTAGCACATGCCCTTAATCCAATCACATGCCAGGCAGAGTCTGTGTGTTCAAGGACATAGCCAGCTTGGAGACACACACCTTTAATCTCAATACCAAACATAGAGACCTGGAGGTCTGTATAGACAGGCAGTGATGGAGGTCATGTGGTTGGGTCTACAACCAATGAGAAGACAGAACAGAAAGTCAATAAAAAGATAGACATGTGGTGATATTGTGTTCCCTGAAATATTGTGCACTCTAATAAACTTATCTGGGGTCAGAGAACAGAACAGCCACTAGATACAGAGGCTAAAAAATGGTGGCACTCACACCTTAATCCTAGCCTTCTGGAGGCATGGATCTCTGTGAGTTCAAGGCCACACTGGAAATAGCCAGACATGGTGACTCACATTTTTAATCCCAGGAAGTGATGGCAGAAAGCAGAAAGGTATTTAAAGTGTGAGGACCAGGAACTAGAGGCTGGTTAAGCTTTTAGGTTTTTGATCAGCAGTTCAGCTGAGACCCATTCAGATGAGGACACAGAGGCTTCCAGTCTGAGGAAACAGGATCAACTGAGAAACTGGCGAGGTGAGGTAGCTGTGGCTTGTTCTGCTTCTCTGATCTTCCAGCATTCACCCCAATACCTGGCTCCAGGTTTGTTTTTATGAATAAGAGCTGTTAAGATTCGTGCTACATCTGGCGCTCAATGTGGGGCAAGACACACAGGAAGTAGGTCTCTTTCTGAGGAGAAGGATTGTGGGGCATTTACCCACCAACCCCACAGCTCTCCAGAGTTTTCTTGAGTGTGAGCAGCAGAAAATACTAGATAGAAGGATTTATTTCAGAGAATATTGCAGAGATAAACAGATAGATAGCCTCGAGAGGGCCTGGAACCTTTTCCAACGGCCCCGACTATCTCTGCCCCAGGGTTTTTATAGAGACGCCAAGGGGGTGAAGCAAAAGACCTCCCCCCGAGCACAGCCAAGTGCAGACCATCTCAGACACCTGCACTTAGGCCTGTGGTCTAATCATCCTCATGCAGACCTGCTGGGCAAAACCAGGAACCTGAAAACGGGCTCCCACAAAGGACAACAATGGACAGCGAGGGGTAAGAAGGGGGTCTTGGTCTTAGCTCTTGGCTGCTGCTTGATCTCTGGGCTTTTAACTCTGCATTTGGCTCTGTGTTTCTTATTTAATAACACCGTCCAAAATTACATCTACAGCTGGACCTTTATCTCACTGTGGAAAATGTGTTTATGCCCCCACCACCACCACTGCCACCGACCCATGGCTTGAGTTTGTTCCTCTGCCGTAACCCCACGGGTTCCTCTCTCCTGCCCAGCTGCACTGCTACTCCGTTTCCTGGTCCCCTCCACAGCACCGCCTCTGAGCTCCAATTCATTAACCTTAAAAGTTTTCCAGAAAAACCTTTCTCCCTCTTTCTTTCAAAAAGTCTATTTCCTATATGTGAATGGAAATATATGATTGATGTGATCACCTATATTTCTTTCTGACCGACTTTTAAATACTTCAATTTACCTGTTCCTTATTTGCTCAGTTTATTTTGGGAAAAAAAAAAAAAGAACTCACATGACCACGTGGTCAGTCACCGTATTTGATAAGGGCTGTCACGTGGTCAGGCAGACACCATCTTTGCTAAGGTCAAAGGGGGACAGGTCATATGACCTCACTGCCATCTTTACTAAGGGCATTCCCTGTCCATGGCTCGAGTATGGGCAGGGCACCCGGTGCTCAGGCCATCTATATGGGGGAGAGGTCAGGAAATTACCTTGCACCACACATTGTTTTACCATTATTTTATGGGCCAAGGGAAGTCCTCTGGTCTTGGCCTGGAATTCCCCAGCTGCCACTCTTAGGCTCGAGGGGACGGGGCTGGTGACCTATCCTCCCCACATGCTGGTGATATAGTCAACTTGCCAGATCATTTCATTGCCTGACTCAGTTGTGGGAAGGGGCAGCATGATCCTGTGCTGGAATAAGGTGGCAACAGTAATGCTTAAGAGATTTTTAATTTTTTTTTAAAATGCCATATACTTTATTTTTGATATTGCAAGAAGACATTTGAGAGATCTTGAATCTATCCTTGGGAGCAGTTTTTAGGTCTCCTGATAAATGATTCAGGATATAAATACCAGTTACAAAAATATGAATTTAAATTTCTCATCAGGCTAAAGACTTCTCTCTGTCCAATCTGTACCTGGCTCTTTCTAAATAAAAGTTGTACATACTTTTAAACCCAAATCTGTAATTTTGCTAGGACTCAAAGGTATGAGCCTAGATATTCATTATCTGCTTTTCTATGATTTAGATTTCAATACTGATTGATAATATCTAAAACTTTTATGCCCTTTTATAAAATAAGAATTCATATAAGCCTCAGAGGATCAAAAGAAGCCATTGGATCCACTTCACAGAAGTCAAAAGGACTCCAGATAAGTACAATAGTACAGCTTGAGTTTTCAAACTCCTCCTCTTCCCAATTACTAAGACTGTGGGCCTAAAGATTCCAAATAAGATCATAAATTTTAACTTTTGTCTCTAGTCTATCTGCTTCAAGAGGTTTTCCATTTGACTGGCAGATACGTCAAAGCAGCAGTTGTGGACCACAACCTGCAGCACTGGACACTGGGTTCCCCAGCTACGGATGCCAGCAGAGACTCTTGTCTATATGATGTGGGCCGATCCAGCCAAACATAATTGTTCCCTGCCTCTACAGCTAGGTCAGATGACCAGATACTTCTGATAAATGCCCCATTGCTCAAATTCCCTCCTTACCTTTGACTAGCCAGGGTCCTGACCACCTGCACCCCATTTCAGCTTGAAGCAGTTATGGAAGAGAATGTGTCATCCTCTGCTCTCTGCCTCAAAACAGACTAAAGGGCTAAGTTAAAGGTAAAACCCCTTTAGTAGGGGACCATATGGCTACCTAACACCTATTGATTTATGCAGAACCAAGGAAGTATATGACCTTAAGAAATAATTATTTCTATATAAGTCATTCAGGATTATAATCTGTCTCTAGACTAGAACTACAGGGCCTTAAAAATGGTAACAAATGTAGATATTGCTGCCAATGGCTTAAAAAATGTCTCTCCTTACTCAGGGTCTATTCAGCTCTAAGAATGTAAGTCTCCTTGTCCTTGTTAAATTTATCTGTTCAGATTAACAAAAGCTGACTTAGAGATTTATACCTCTAGAAAAGTTAAATAAATGATGGCATATGTTTAATAAGCAAGATATATATCCTATGATGGAGTTTCTGGTCCCATGAGAGGGTCCTTTTCTCAGAGGGAACCTTTTCTCAGAGTTGGGCTGCATCCTGACTCACAAACCCTTTTCTCCTGTCTCCATTCAGCCTTGGGATCTTTCCCATCACTCTTCTTTGCCTTCCCAGGAGACAGCAAGTCCTAGCCTTACGGAAGCTGCTCAGATATGGAGGACTTAAGGAATACTAGCTGATAGCCATTTATATCTAATAGACAGGCAGGTATATAGTCCTCAAATGCTCAGAGATCTGCAGAATATGGCATTTAAAATGTTGATCAAAAAGCTTTTTAAATCAGACAGAGACTCCCAGATCCTAGCAGTGACCCAAGTTCTCCAAAGAAGAATATGAGGCACCACGATGTCTCCACCTGGATGATGGCAACGCTGACCTCTAGGCAAGATGCCCCAATGTGACACCTGCTACCAGGACCTAGCCACCTGTATGGACAAACACCAGGACATTAGAGAATTGATTGCACCCCTTTTGCTTAGACAAGGTAAGATCAGTCTTCTCTATGTCCCTTCTCCATGAGAAAAACTCCCACCTTATGGACCTGGTGGCCAAAGATTGATGCTGTTCTGATACTTCTGCCTCCAACTATGTGGAGACCTGGGTATGGACTGGTTCCTGTCATTTTTAATAGATTCAAAAGCTGTATAACTTTTCCTTCTCAGATCTCTGATTCTATTTGATGACCAGGCTTTGCTTCAGCTGCCTTCTCAGTTCTCTATATAAAATTCACAGGTCCCCCTCTCCTAGGGCTACTACTAGGTCTGGACACAATTTACCTTGTTACTAGATCAGATAAACTCACAAAACAGATTTCAATGTAACTTTTTACTACTGACTGCTCTCAGTATCTCTTGGAGAATTAGATAAAAGAAACAGCTTTAAAGTTAGTTTATATGAAGATAGGAAAGTTATCTCACTTCTGTTCACTTACATATCCTTCTCAGATCTGATGATGTTTAGAGAAGCCTTCCTCTTTCTTCACTCACCCAACCACTTCCATTCAGTAAATTTCCTCTGGTTATAGATTTAGAGATATGTTTCACTGGGCTGAATCCAGGCCCTTTTATGTTCATACTTTTTAACCTTGTGATTTGCGGCAAGTCCTTAGGCTAGCTGTTTTGACTTGTTGAGAAGTTGGAGACCAAGTGAGGTCCTCCTCACCTCTGGAACTGATCCCAGGACCTTGGGACAGCAAAGCTCAGGCGAGCTTCCCTAGTTACTAGCACTTCCTGCATGTAGCCACACGTGATGGCTGGAGAAGTAACTGCTGCGCACAGGGGAGAAGATAGCCTAAGTCATGCCTGCTGTCTCTTGGCCTGCATACCACACACTCTTTTCCCCATGCATACCATAAGCAGCGTCCTTACACTGTATTAAATTAATACTGTGGGCAGGTGTGCAACACAGTGGACATAAAGATCAGAGGACAACTGATCATGGGAACTCTGTTCTTTCCCTCCACCACAGGATCAGGGATTGAACTCTAGTCATTAGGCTTGCATGGCAAGCGATTCTACTGGCTGAGCCATCTTGCTGGTCCTAATTTCTTAGCTGTACTATGGGAACATAATACATTAGCATTAGAGGAAGCTGAGTGGAGGGTATATACAAATTCTGTGCTACTTTTTGCAGCTTTTTAAAAGTCTAAAGTTATTCAAACTAAAAAGTTAAAAACAAAGAACAAAGAAACATGAGATGACAACTGTCAAGGCTGCTATCACATGCATGCAGGGCTCGGATACATGTGGGGGTCAGATACATGCAGATGGAAACGAGATGAGCATTGGAATGATTGACAGTCGATGCACGTGGGTGTCAGGCACATGTAGGGTTATTATTTTTTCTCTCTATTTTTCTATATGTTTTTACTTAATTAAAAATAGAAGTAAGCAAAGCATGGTGGCATGTGCTTCTAATCCCTGCAGGATAAGGGGTTCAAGGGCACATTTGTACTCATACACATACACACACTCTAAACATTTTTTTAAGATGTGGAAATTCTAATGGAAGCAAATTAAGTAACTATCCATGGTCAATGACGGCACAAATGCTTAGAGAGGTCAAATGAGCACCTCCAAACAGTGAAGTCAAGGCTACCTTTGTTTGTTTGTTTGTGTGGGGTGGGCAGATGGGGAAGGCAGCAGTTAGCTTGTGCTGTGGTGCACTGGGGGCTGTCAGAGCACAGCTTTAGGAGTAGATTCTCTCCTTCCACGTGGGATGCAGGGGTCACACTCAGGCCCTCAGGCTTGTGCAGCAAGTGCGTTCACCTTGTTGAACTCTCCCACTAGTCTTGGTCAAAGCTACCTAACCTGAAACCATCACCCATGTGTAGCTGCCACCAACAGCCAGGGCCACACAGTCCCAGTATGACAGGTTAGGTGACCCTGGGTCACAGGGAATGGCATCTTCCTGCAGAGCTAACTGTACACTACCTTGGGGATACACTGGGGAGCTGTGTGGTCCCTTAGTGTGTGAGTGTGTGTGTGTGCATATGAACACACCCATGCATATACACACTTTTGCATGTGCACACATGCACACATATGACACAAACAGGGAGATGGACAAGGTCCCAGATAGGAAGACACCTACCCAGAATTACCAAGCTTCAGAAGTCTTGCCAGGAGAGCTGGCTCTGTGACTTCTTTCCCAATATTGTACAAATGGAGCAGGAGTTCATCTTTGTCACCTGAGATTTGGTTCAAATTTCAGGTTGGTGATTTATTTATTGCACAACCTGGGCACATGGCATTACCTAGGTCTTCACTTACCACATGAAGATTCACCCTACCTTCTCTGGGAAAGGGTGGAAGTAAAAGAAGCTCTCAGTCTGCCTCACTCACTTGTGGAGACTGGTTCTCCTCAGTACCCTATATAACACACTGCAGTACTCCTCAAATACTGAGCCGGGGTGGGGGGGGCAGGTGTACATCAGTGACGAGCATGATACAGACAAGGGCACATTTAGAGCAAAGCCATTCACTTCACAGAGCAGTCCTTTCCCATAAGAATCACCGGGAAGCCTGCTCAGCTCATGTGACACTTATAGGAAAGTAGGGTCAACCAGGACTTGTCCAGGATCTCCCTGTGGAAACACCACCAGGAAACATGGCTTTAGGTCCTAGCACCTCAAAAGGATCCCCAGCTCTGAGACAGGAGGCTGAATCTTTCCAAGACCACCTAGCACCTGACACAGCACCCCCACCCTGCCCCGGAACACTGGCAGGAAAGAGCAGGGCAGTGCTCTGGCTGGGCCTGTAAATTCCAGCCCTAAGGGAGGAGAAAGGGGTGGAGCCAACAGTCTGAAGATTGGGCCAGTCAGAGAGAAGCCAGCCAGGGTGACAGAGCTGCCCCAGGACAGAGGTGAGTGAAGGAGAGTCCCAGGCCGCAAATGGAGAACTGACAGACCCTACCAAAGGTGCAGCAGGAGCCTAGACATCCTCAATGGCTCTGAGCATTGCCTTCCTCCCTCACTCTTATTTACAAGCACCTCCTAGAGGTAGCTAGTTTAAACTTTGGTAGGGGGAAGCTGGTAAGGGCAATAACAAAAATGTAATGAGTTACTTGTCCTGCCTATTAGACGGTTAGGACAGAGAGAGGGTATCAGCAATGTAGGTAGTGGGCTTGGACTGTTAAAGGAGGTGCAGGGAGCCTCACTGAGGTCTGATACCAAGGCAAGACAGAGGAAGTCATGGTGACATCTGGGGAAAGAGTGTCCAGGCAGAGGCAGGGCCCTGGCAAAGGCTGGCCATGGCAGGAGGCTGGAGAGTTGGGGAATAGCAAGGTTATCTGGTATAGAGGAAGCTAGAGGCAAGAAGAGGCAGCTAGGCAGCCTCACAGGAAGGCAAGCAGACAAAGGGCTCCTTGTCCATGCCAGGTCCCTGTCAGTACCCCACAGAAGCCTGCCTGGGCTGAGGCCTGACAAGGGTACCTCCTTCCTCAGTCCTGTCCTCACTAGGAAATGACTAGGCCCTTACTGTATAGGCTCAGGAGAGGAAAGAAAGGAAAGCAGGTGGCAGCCACACTCTGGGACGAGGGAGACACAATGCCACCTTCCTAGCACTCACTGCTATGGGCAAGAGTACCTCAGAGGGATGCCCAGTTCTTACAGGAATGTTCTGTTGGGAGGGTTGCATTACTGTAAGGTCTCTAGAGGCTGGAACTCACTAGGAACACTGGAGAGCTGAGCCTTGGCCAGGGAGAACAGGGCAAAGATCAGGAAGAGAGGGGGGTTGGGAACAAGGTGGCAGAGCGGGCAGCCTAGCTGCAGGGAAGTACGTGGTCATGAAAGGACTCCTTTCTGCAACCGACTCCCTTCTGGACACTGAGGATCCACTTACAAACAAGAAAGGAAAACATGACCAGAGACACTGAGGCCAGGTGAGAGGTGAAGGTGGCTGAGTGATAGCCAAGGAGATGGCAAGGAACAGATGGAGTTTGGGTGCTCAAAGGTGAATGGATGAGTCTCGCTGTTGACTCACTGTGGGAGGATAGGGGTTTTGAAAAGGCCAAGGGTTTGGTTGAAGGAGGCAGGAGCCACCTTGGCTATCGGGAACACCGGGGACACGGGGAACACTTCACAGGAAGAGAGCAAACTCTCCCCCTCTGTCTTCTTTTTACAAGTGTCCCTTCTTCCTCCTCTTCCCGTCCATCTTCTTCTTCTACAGTGATAGGAATTTAACCCAGGGCCTTGTGTATGCTAGGCAAGCACTCTCCTACTCTTCTATTGCCATTTTGAGACATGGTGTCACTAAATTACCCAGACTGTCCTTGAATACATTCTGTACTCCAGGTAGGTCTTGTGATCTTTGCCTCCCAAACAGATGGAATTACAGGCCTATGCCATCAGGTCCCACTGCACAGTACTCATTAGGTATCACAGAAATGGAGATGAATGAAGTGAGTGGGACCACAGAGTCCCTGTAGTGAGCCTCCCAGTAAGGTAAATAATGAACAAGGTATATGCTTTGTGTCAGACCCCAGCCAGCTCTCAGCCACCTCTAGTAGTAGCAGCTCACAAAACCTCTCTAGGACTGTTCTCTTCCACGTGCCTCCCACTGACTCTTCATGAAAACTATCTCACGCATTGCTATGACACAAGCTATAGAGGGTGGAACAGGAGCTTCATGACCTTGGCTACTGCAGACAGCAACCCAGACTGCATTCACTCATGAACAATGTGTGGACCACAGCCAGTAGCCATGAGAACAGGGTAGGAGTATGATGTCATTCAGGTAATTAAGACAGGCTCTGACTGACCCTGGCCCTGGGCAATGCCTTTTGCACGCAGGTTCTTGGCTCCTCCCAGTGCTCAGAGCAGACCCTCAAGGCAGCCAGGCCAGAAGTGTTTCTCTCTCAGACACCAGGCAGATCCAAGATGGGGAGCCCAGTGCACCGAGTATCACTGGGGGATACCTGGAGCAGGCAAGTTCACCCTGACATAGACAGTGAAAGGTGTATACCATCCTTCAGTGTGGAGCGGCTCACCAACATCCTTGATGGAGGCGTCCACAACACTGTGCTGAGGAGGAAAGTTGGTAAGCAGAGGCAGGAGGCCAAGAGCTGACTTTGAACCTGCATGTTTTGTTTTGTTTTTTTCTAGAACAGTCCTTTAATTCTGTACTCCTCCTTTAACTAATGGTCTTTGTTGTTGCTTGCTTACTCTTTTGAAACTGTGACACTTATAGCCCAGGCTGGCCTCAAACTGCTACATAGCCAATGATGATCTAGAACTTTCTGCCTCTACTTCCCAAATGCTAGGATTGAAGAAGTAGGCTGCTGTGCCTGGTTTCTATGGTTCTGGGGAACCAGTGCTATGGATCAAAGCCAGAACTTTATGCATTCTGGGCAGCCATTCTACCAACTATAAGTTGGAACTATAGAGTTCCATCTATAAGCCTAGTCCTTCCTTCAAGTAACAAACTGGTCCTTGACACCAGACACCTGGGCAACAGAATATCCACATACTGGTCCTGGTTCCACCAGAGCATAGCTTTGCATGAGCGGTCAGAGCACATTTCTCTCCTCAGGGGTCTCAACGGTTTCATTTGTTAAATGACAGTGACAACTGACCTCCTTTCAAAATCCATGAGGCAAGTGGGTGGGAAAATTTGAAGGTATCAGGAACCTTCTCCAAGCCACCAAAGTCCTCTGTTCTCTCTGCTGCAGAAAGCATCCTCCAAGGTGACCCAGTGTTCAACCTGAAGGACCATTACTTCATGACTCAGGATGAGCAATACGAGGCTGCAGTTCAAAAAAGATTCCACCTTGAGATGCTAGCCCGGCGTCTAGGCTGGTCAGAAGGCAGTCCTGAACGCAATTATGCTGACAGGTGCTCATTGGGGCAGCCCCACCAGAGAGGCTTGCCTGCAACCCCTGGGCCCATGAGACATTTCCCTCAGCAAAGGATGACTTACTGGAAGATTAGCATGCCAGATGCCCCTTCCCTCCTGTGCCCTACCCAGGTTGAATGTTTATGGACCCATCTTCCAGAGGCTACTCATCTATAACCTCTCTCCCCGACAGGGTACTTTCTGGATATGCCAACTTAAGCTTACATGGTATTGCCATGAATGCTCTAAGAAGTCTGGGCTCAGATGAGCAGATTGCCAAATGGGGTCAACTCGGCAAAAATTTCCAAATCATCACAACATATGCCCAGACAGAACTGGGACATGGTAAGCCAGAGCTACTGCATACAGTGTTCAGACGACACAACTCCAGGGGACCTATTCATAGCTCATAAATATGCATGCTAATTTGGAAACGTCCCAGCAGATGGCAGTCACAGGTCTTGAGGAAGGAATGCCTTTTTCTAATGTGTACACATACATTGTATGAGCTACCAGAGGGGCAGGTTATTCCTCTTGGAAGTGTTAGCATGCATTCCTATGTCCTCACACAACCCATAGATAAAGGGAGAAAGGGCTGCAAGTGCAGCCAGGAGCTCACCTTGGCTCAAACAGTCTAATTCTCCTCCTTGATCCCAAGGGACATACCTGAGGGGCCTGGAGACTGAAGCCACCTATGATGCAGCCACCCAGGAGTTTGTGATACACAGCCCTACAATGACTGCCACCAAGTGGTGGCCTGGGGACTGTGAGTATCTTCCTTCCTATTTCCCTTTCTCTCCACAATGAAGACAAAGCTGGAGCTGAATAGCACTAACTTTGATGCCCAACAGACATCAGGTTGATTTTCTGTTCTAGGCTGATCACCTTGAAATCAATTGAAATAGGTAGGATATAAGAACTTCCTTAGTAAGTGGCCGGAAGGTCTCAAAGGAGCTTTGAGTAGATAAGGAAATGCTCCCACCCTGTGGGTGATGAGGGCCAAGAACATATGCACTGCCCTGACATAACACATGTGTGATGCACACAACACACACACTACCCCACAGAGAGATATGCAAGCATAAAACACACATAAACACATACTGCCCCCTACAGTCACAGATACACACAACATACATTGCCTCACAACACAAACTTTGTCCCTACAAACATGTACACACTGCCCATACATAGACAACATATAGATGTAAACATACACACACTGCCCCCACCCCATGACACACATGTGAGAAGAATCCTGTGGCCAGTCTGGGCTGGTCTCACTCTGGCCCCTGTAGGAGGCCAGTTGCCTTCATTTCAAGGTATTGTATTTCTGTTCTCAAGCAGACACACCTGTGCATATACACACCACACATACCCCAATGTGTATGTACATAACACTGACACCCACATGTAGGTACACAGCATACACCACCACCATACAGACACACCTGTACATGTACATAACACACAGACACTGCCTTTATCAACACATGCACACAAAAATATGCACACTACCCCATCACAGACACTCATGCATGTATAGAACACATATGCTGTCCCCTTAGACACACTTGTACACATATACCGATACTCATACACACACACCACCTAGTCTTATCCTAAGAGCTTCCCACAATATCATATGTTTTAGCCTCTCAAGTTAACAATAAGCTTGCCACCTACCAAAACACATGCCCTGAGACTAGTTAGTGGCTAAACATCCTCCCTGCCCCTGCCACTCCATACTCAGATAAGCTCACACTAATGTCACTGAGCTCCAAGACAGGGTCCTACCAAAGGCCCCTTTGAGAAATCATTTCTCAGGACTCCACTGAGCACTTGGAGACCTAGTAAGAGAATGTCTGTATAGACATTGAATAAATAAATTATTTGAATTCAACCAAAGCAGGGCAGGTGGCAGAATGGGGAAAGCAAGGCAGGAAAGAACAGAGGGTAGGGGGGACAAAGACAATTGAGTGATCAATATCAAGTTTTCAGGGGAAAGAAATGCATCTTTAAGATCAGGCTGATGTGGTTTAAATTCCAGCTCTCCCCCTCCAGGCCAGTGACCTCCAGTGTGTCACTCTGTACAGAGCCTCAGCTTCCCTGTCTGGAAAATAAGACTCCCCTTACCTGCCCTGCAAGAACCAGGAAACCTCAGCCAAGAGCTGGGCTCTTGCTGGGTTTTGATAAGGGATGGCTGTGCTCATCATGGGGCTGACAGCAGAGGGCCTTAGCTGTTGTGGTAGAATACAACTATTCTTTACAAGTTTGCTCACTTCAAACTCCCTTGCCAAGTCACTGTTTCACTCTAGCTAGATTTTGTGTGTGTGGCAATTCCTTCTGTCATCAGTGACTTTCCCAAGCCCAGGAGGCAGGGGTAAGACATGGTACATAGGGCTTCCTGTGATGGGCCTCTCATATTTCTGCCTAGTGGGACGGTCAGTCACGCATGCTATAGTCCTTGCCCAGTTGATCTGCTCAGGAGCCCAGCATGGCATGCATGCCTTCATTGTGCCCATCCGGAGCCTACAGGACCACACCCCACTGCCAGGTAAGCCCTGCAGCTTCCTCAAGGACCCCTCCTATAAGATGGTCCCACCAACTTGCCCAGTCCTGAATCCCCAAGAGATGTGCAGAAGAAGCTGGGACACGTCTCTCTTCGCCAAAAGAAATCCAGTTGACAGAGCTAGTAGAGCTGGCTGTTTGACTGGCAAAAGACTCAGCATCTGACTTCAGCTTGCTTACCTGCTTCCTGAATACCACGGTGTGTGTGTGTGTGTGTATGTGTGTGTGTGTGTGTGTGTGTGTGTGTGTGTGTGTGTGTGTGTACCTGTGTGTGCCTGTGTATGTAAATGCCTGTGTGTGTGCCTGTATATACCTGTGTGTGTGCGTCTGTGTGTCTGGCATACTATATGCACTCAACTGACAGGTGTTCTCATCTCTACCCTCTTCTAGGAATCACAGTTGGGGACATAGGGCCCAAGATGGGCTTGGAACACATAGACAATGGCTTCCTGCGATTGAACCACGTGAGGGTTCCCAGAGAGAACATGCTGAGCCGCTTTGCAGAGGTTAGGTGCTGGGAAGACTATAAACCCAGACTGCCTAGAGAAGGGACTTTCCCTTCATGTAGTTGCCACAGGCTCTGGTTTGCCTCAGCAAAGCTGAGTTTGGACCACAAGTCCCCTTACCCCCAAAAGAGGCTCAGGGGTCCCACAGATAAGGATAAAACCCAGCTTAGGAGCACAGTGGTGTTGGGAAAATCTTGTCACTTTAAGTCTCAGACTCCCCATGTGTAAATACTTAGCACATGGTTTTCAGAGCAGTCATGAGGTACAGTGGTAAGGCAATCCCCAGAAAGGGGAGGAGCTGAGGGTGAACATATTGCTTTCTACAATCAGTTACAGAACAGATATGACCCAGGTGCTGGCAGAAGTCCCCTTCTAGTCAGGCTTTACCTCTTTGGTGTAAAAGGTGGCAGTTTCTGGGGTATCTCATGCAAGCATTTTCACATGCCAGTGGTCATGCTGCACAAGGGATCTGCTTTAGGTGAGCAAAAGTGGGTTGCCTGCAGGGATGGAGACTCCTGGAAGAGCAGCCTGGGGAGCCTTGGCTCCAACCCAGTACCTGTCTCTGTTGCACACAGGTCTTACCAGATGGTACCTACCGGAGGCTCGGGCCAGCACAGAGCAATTATCTGGCCATGTTGGTGACCCGGGTGGGGCTGCTGTTAAAAGGAATCCTACCCTTCCTCCAGAAGTCTTGTGTCATTGCTGTGCGCTACTCAGTCATACGCCACCAGTCCCATATTCGGCCTAGGTAAGGAGTAACCCAAAGGCTGACCCTGACAGAAATGCCTGACACTCAGCCCCACAGTGTCTGCACTGACACCACCTCTGCCAGAGTCATGGTGTTGGAGCAGATCACACACTTGCACATGCACATGCACACACATGCATGCAGTCCAGATGGGGTCTTTGGCTCTCTCTACTCCATCACCAGACTGTCTGACCTAACCTGTTAGTCTCTTATCAGTGTGTGGTCCCATCAGACTCTCCGTGACCACATCTTCACACTGCACCATCTGCTGTGACTGTCCTACACAGCTGTGACTAGCTAGTGAGTTTGTGTCTGCCAATTGTCGAGGCTGGTTGGTTGTTGTCAAGTTGTGTCTGATAGAAGCCAACTGCCTTAGGCTGCATGTGGCTAAACTCGTGCTCCTTGGCTCAAACTCAGTGCCTAGCTGTGAGAAGGCTAAGTCTAGACCCTTTCTTTTCATTACATCTGTTGCATCTGGCTCTCGTTCCCTCCATTCTATGACACAGAATGGCAAGGGCTGCTATATGACATCTAAAAGTGTATGTGTGTTTCCAGAAAGACTCCACTAGTTACATTTAAATTCAGGGAAACAACAGTCTTTTGGGATAGGTCCCAAATGGACATAACTCTCAAGATGCAGCAAACTACAACGAGAACAGGAAACAGGAGCAGAGCATGTCACAGCCTAAGGATCCTGGACTTGAGGAGGCCCTCCTGGGTCTATGTTCTCCCTGTACATAGTGAAGTCAGGAGGACTGAGCTGGAGAGCATGCAGCCCTGGGGCCGGGTGTTCTTTCATGCCTGGCACAAACACACTGAGGATTAGATGCCAGGCAGAACTGGGCATCATGCACTTCTTTCTCCTTTAGAGTCCATGTCTGCAAAATAGAGGTAACAGGCAGAGTTTCAGGGTGGTGATAAGGGTGAAATATGGAAAAAGTACAGAGCTTAAATCTCAGTTGCCCTTCCTCTAGAAACCCACAATAGCCTCAGAGTAAGGCCTGGACTTTCGAATTCTAGGCTGAAGGCATCTTCCCTAGAGGACTGAGTACTCAGAAGAAAGTGATGCTAGTGCTGCTGCTGGCTGGCTGGCAGCACGCCTCTGTCTGGGCAGCAGAGGTATCCCAAGGGTTATGGGATATGTTGTGTGCATGTTGTGTGAAGAGGAGATTCCAGGTCCCATCAGCTTCGAGGGACTCCACACACACACACACACACACACACACACACACACACACACACACACACTCCCAATCCCATTACTCAGGTCTCTACATGCTGGAGGCAGTCCCAGGTACTGAAGACACAGCAGTAGACGTGGAAGACAGTTCCTTTCTTCTGTGTCTTTGGGCCCAAGTTTATGCCCTAAGAGTTGTTAAGCTCAACACATTTCTTATCACACAGCAAGCACATGGTCATAGGCAGTGAAAGGTCATAAACTAGCCATCAGTGGGGTAGGGCACACCCCTTCACCTGGTCTTTGGGTCCAGGAGGTTTGGAGTTCAGATTTTCAGATATGATGTATATGCTGTGGATATTTTTACAGGAAAGTGTGTGAATGTTGGTGATAGGTAAGGTTTAAACCATAGTAGCCTCATGTTGGCCTTTCAACGGTCCATTGTTATGACTTTGACAGTGTTAGGAATATGGGAAGATGGTTTGGAGTGAAATTCTAAATCTTTTGCTTCTTTTCCTCTCAGTGACCCAGAGGCAAAAATCCTGGACTACCAGACACAGCAGCAGAAACTCCTTCCTCAGCTTGCCATGAGTTATGCCTTTCATTTCCTGGCCACTAGCATCTTAGAATTCTTCCACAGCTCCTATAGTGCCATTCTGAACAGAGACTTCAGCCTCCTGCCCGAGGTATTCTGTTTGCTGAAAGCTAGTGATGGAGGGTAGCTAATGCTGTTCCAGCTGTTGAGAAGTGGCTACAGCCTGGCTCCCATAGGCCCTCAGTCTCCCAGTGTCCCAGGGCAACAGCGTAAAATGTACCATACTACATAGGTCCACAGACAATTGGCCCCTAGAGAGATCCAAGAATGTTAACAGTAATGTGAGTGTAGAGCCACAATCCCCGGTGTATGATAGAAACCAAAACAACCCCAAACAAAGTCATTTGAACTCTTTTGATGGCACAATTTGACCTGAACTAACCTGATTTATTCTGCTGGCCACAAAATAACAGAACCATTAATATGTTCAACCATGAGTATAACACACCTCAGAGGCTCTGCATTGCCTTTTAAAAAACCAAAGTCATATCAGGCCCAGAGAGAGCACCACAGTCCAAGCTATGCATTGATCCAATACCTCAGAGTCTAGGATGAGGCTGTGACTCACACATCTTCAGTCTGTGTAGGCACTGTGCTTTTAAAGCATTGCTTCATTAACCCTTTCCATAGTAGCTACCATTTATGTTCTTATTTTGCAAGTAAGGAAACTGGAATAGAAAGGGAAAAGGAGGCCTTTCTCCCATGGATGTGAAAGTCTGAAAGATGGATAGGGGCTTTCAAGAACTAAAACCTTAAACCAACCTCCTGCCAGCCCGTTCAGTTGCTCTAGCAAACGTCTATAAACTCGGTGGCTTGTCCACAACAGAAATTAATTTCTCACTCTTCTGGTGATGTCTGTCGTGGTGCTACTGTTTGGGAAGGGCCTTCCTGCTGTGTGGTAACGTGGTGGAAGGTATCATGTGAACAGAGAAAGAGTGAGAGGGTACTGAGAAAGGGGACTCAGGGTTATAACAAAGCAACTTCCACAACACCAAACTCAGTCCCACAACAGCATTAACTCATCCATGACATAGGAACTCTCATGGCCCAGTCACCTCTTAAAACAGTTAAGATGGCAACTATAGGGCCAGCAACATGGCTCAGTGGATAAAGGCACTTGCTGCCAAGCCTGATGACCTGATTTCGATCCCTTAAACCCACATGCTAGAAAGAGAAAATTGACTACTGCTAGTTGTCCTCTGGCCTCCACACATGCACTGCCATCATATTATACACACACACACACACACACACACACACACACACACACACACACTCAGACAGAGACAGCAGAGACAGAAAGAGACGGAGAGGGAGGGAGAGAGAGAGGGGGGAGGGAGGGAGGGAAGGAGGGAGGGAGGGGAGGGAAGGAGGGGGAGGGAAGGAGGGAGGGAGGGAGAGAATGAAGGCTTTCAGAGGCAGCAATTGTGCAATTGTATTTCAACGCAAGTTTTGGAGAAGACATCCCAGTCATTGCAGCCATTAACACTCCTCATGGAGGTTTCACCTTATGACCTTATCCTTGTCAAAGGTCCACCTCCTAACACCATTGCTCTGGGATTTAGATTTCAACATATAAGTTTGGGTAGACAGTTGGACCATGGCACCCTCCTACAACCTGGGAAATGGGCTGATAGTAGACACATGTCTTCTTTGGCCATCTTTCCAAACTTCTGCCTGCTAGCAATCTTGTAGGATGGTGGACCCAATCCAGGAAGGCCCTTCTTCTGAAGATCCTGGAGACACTGGCTAGGACAGATTTTCCTTCATTCTTACAACCCCACAGCCACACTACCTAACTGTGTAACTTTGTATGAGCCATACCCTCTAAGCATTCACTTTGATACCCTGGGAAGCAGTGAGCTAGGCACAGTGCCCACCTCCTAGCTGTGCCAGCATGCAGCAGGTACTAAAGACTGGATGGCACCACAGGACTCTCACACTGCTCTGTCCTTGCAGCTCCATGCACTGAGCACTGGTACGAAGGCCATGATTTCAGACTTCTGTACCCAGGGGGCAGAAATATGCCGCAGGGCCTGCGGTGGTCACGGCTACTCAAAGCTGAGTGGTCTGCCGACACTGGTCACCCAAGTGACAGCCTCTTGCACCTATGAGGGTGAGAACACGGTGCTCTACTTGCAAGTGGCCAGGTAAAGTCCAGTGTTGTCCAGACCTCTGCCCTACACTGGGGGTCCCCTGAGCTTCTGCTTAGCAGAGGCATCTATCTGATGCCATGGAAGAAGTAAGCTTTGGAAAAGTACCATTTGAGGGCTGTCCAAATCCCAATGCGTCCCTAATCTGCCCACTTCCTCCAGATTTCTTGCTATTCCCAGCCAGGCTATCCTTCTGTCTCACCCAGACAACAGCATCAGGCTCCTCCCTGGGGTCTTGCTTCTCTCCTGTTCCCACTTCTTCATAGGCAACCAGGGGGCTCTTTCCAAAGCCTAGAGAAAATCACATCTTTTTCTTGTTCCCTCTACTTGAAGGAAAATGCCACAGTGTACACTGTGCTCTTTCAGTCCTTACGACCCAGACACTGCCTGACCCAACCTGCTCTCAGGTCCTTCTGCCTCCACTGGCCATATTCTTCTTTCCAAAGTGCCCTTGACCCCCTGCCACCCAGAACTACATTTCCTTTGGAAGTTATCACAATCCATAATTACCTGCAACTTTTTGTTTAGCTTTTTAGCTCTGTTTCCTAGCTAAACCAGGATTTCCTGCCTTGCTCACCAAGGTATTCCCTGCTCAGAAAAGAGCAAACCCAAAAACACCCTGAGAGGCAATTAGGCCTCACCAGCCTCCTCCAAACCGGCTGCCTCTTTCCAGCTACCCCTGATGGTTGATTCTCTCATACTCATTCATTCTCTGATGACTAAACAGAGCAGATACTTCAGTATCCAAGGAAAAAGGAGTTCACTGGCAAATATGACATATAGTATTTACTGGGTTTTTCTTTTTCAAGTTATAAAAATAATACAATAGCATGCATTAGGTAGCCTGTACCTGCACTTGACAAGCAATTCACAAGTGTCTCATTCAGCTCTACACACCCGCCCTGTTAGACAAGAAGCATCATTCCTATCATCCAGAAGAAACTGACCATCTTCAGTGGTCTCAGAAGAGCTAATGGGAGTCCAGGGCTGTCTCACACAGAAGCAGCCTGGAGTCACTCTCATTCTTCCGAATGCCAGGACTCTTTCACGTATCTGACTCGTTAGAAGGCCACAGACACTGTACTTACATCCTACGTCCCCCAGTCAGAAGTCCTGATGGTGAAGCTTCTGTTGGCACAAACCTCAGAAGGGCTTGTGCTTAGGATCTAAGGGAGTCTAGCCCAGCTTTGCACCCCCTGTCGCCTGGTAAAGAAACTGGTACTTTGGGTACATCTCACTGAGGGTCCTACAGAAGATGGGGCAGGGGTGGGGAGCAAGGGGGTTAGAGTGAAGAGCGGCTCTCAGGAAGAAGCTGGGAAGAGGCCTGGAGCCCTTGGCTCTCCTCACTGGAGTACAGCGTAAAGTGTATGCCCCCGGGAGGGAGGGAGCTGGGCTAGGTCGCCCACAGTCTCACACTGCCTCATCTGTCTCTACCTTCCCCTCACCAGGTTTCTGATGAAGAGCTACCTGCAGGCTCAGGTGTCCCCAGGCTCCACACCACAGAAGTCTCTCCCTCAGTCTGTCATGTACCTTGCCACACCAGGGCCAGCCAGGTGCGCAGCCCAGACAGCAGCCGACTTCCTCTGCCCAGATCTCTACACCACAGCCTGGGCACATGTGTCTGCCAGGTAAGCCTGTGCTGAGGCATCAGCATCCCAGTCAGGGTGGGCTCCTTCCCACACAAGGACCTTCAGGACCAGCTGGATGGACACTGGTGGACAGTGCTTTACAAACCCCTGGCATTCCCAGCCTCTCCAGACCTCTTAGCTCCCATGACTATGGGTGAAGAAGGGACACCTTACCCCTCAGGCATCGACCACCATCATTTCTTTATCCTGGTCACAGTGGTAGAAATGTATCTCCTCTCTGACTAGTGAGAGGAATTTTTTAAACCTTTGGGTTACTACAGTGATTTCTAATATAACGAGTGCACTCACACATAAATCACTATAAATGAACTGATATACAAATCAATGCCAACAAGTAAAGTAGTGTTTTAAGTCTGAACTATCCCACAATCTAAAAGTAATTTTCGAAGTTGATATCTGCAGCACCCATGCAAAACAGGCAGGCATAGTTATAAGAACTAGTAACCCCAGTGTTGTGTGGAGCAGAAACAAGGTGACCACTGGAATTTGCTGGCTGCCAGCCTAGCTCCAAGTACACCGAGAGACCCTATCTCAGGGGAATAGGGCAGAGATTTATACAGGAGGACCTCAGACACCCTCCTGGACTTTATGCAAGTACATGTACCCTTTGATACACACACACACACACACACACACACACACACACACACACACACACACGCACACACAAACATGTACATATATACCACATGTATATAACACACACATTAAATAAATAAACAATAAAAGTAATTTTCAAAAGTGTAGTTATATCTCAGAAAAGAACTGGTTTATAGTCAGGGTCTATTAGAGTCCAAGGAACATGGTCAAAACCAAGGACTCAGAGCTAGAAAGATGGTTCAACAATTAAGAAAACTTACTGTTCATGCAGAGGACTCAAGTTTGATTCCCAGTACACACAAACTCCAGTTGGGGGAACCTGATACCTTCTTCTGGCTTCCATGGGCATCTGCACATACATAGTACACATAAACCCACACAAGCACAAATACATGAAAATACATGTCTTTTTTAAAAGAACGTATATTATTTGTTGTTCTTTTCTTAAGTAAAGGTCTCACTATGTAGTCATGGCTGGACTGGAACTCACTGGGTAGACTGGGCTGTCCTCTAACTCATAGAGATTCACCTGCCTCTGCCTCTTGCCTCCTCAGTGCTGGAATTAAAGGTGTGTATTACCATGCCTAGCTTAAAACATGAATTTTCATTATTTATTTTACTTTTATGTGTATGAGTGTTTATCTGCATACATATCTTTGCACTATGGGCAAGCAGTGCCCATGGATGCCAGAAATGGGCACTGGATCTCCTGGAGCTAGAGGTACAAACAGTGTGAGCTGCCATGCAGTTCTGGGACTTCAAACTGGGTCCTTGGGAAGAGCAGCCAGTGCTCTTAACTGTTGAGCCATCTCTTCAACCCATAACATGAATTCTATTAAACAAACAAACAAACAAACAAAAACCCAAGAATTTGCACATACTGTCCTTTAACAAATATCACCAAGTACTGACTATTTGTCAGAAATGACTGTGTTCCAGAGGCTGTGAAGAGAGACACACCCTAACCAACCAAATGCAGACACCATCACTGAAAAAATTTAACTACCTAGAAGGGAACTTTGTGAACTGTGCCCCAGCCCGGAAAGCCAAAAACTGGAGAAAGTATTTCCAGCACACACTAAGAAGGCTTACTTCCAACCTGTATCCCAAGGAGGGTAGCAGCTATTTTAGGGTCAAAGGCAACTTGAGACATTTGCTTCTTCATTCCACAATACTTTTAAATGCCTATAATATGGGAGGTACTGTGTTTACAAGTGGGGCTCTACCAGTAAACTAGCCTGATAAATGCACAGGACACACAGAGCTAGGGTCGCGGGGAAGGTTAGGAAGGGAAAGACAGACTGCTGGGGAATTAAAGAGGCACTCTGCATCTCCTTTCTTGGAACTCAATGTACCATCTGCTTATCATTTCCCTGACGAAGCAAACTAAATGTTGCTTAATAAACAGTTTGCTTTACACTCAAATTCCAAGGGCCAGATAAACACACAGGGAATAGAAAACAGACTAAAGGTCAATATAATGGCAAACGACGAAGTTGGCGGCTCAGAGGAGAGGAGGTGGTTCTCTGTTTTTGTATTTAGGTACCTCAGGTAGGACTTGCAGCAGGATTAGACTTAGAAGAATAAACAGTCTCCTTGCTCTTGTCATAAGAAGTAAATCAACAGAATGGCCTGAAGTTATCTGAGATCCTAAGGTTTAAAAAAAAAAATCACAGGAAGCCAAAGCAGGAGGACTTAAAGTTCTAGGTCACTCTGGGCTATACAGCAATACTGACTCAACAGAGAAAAAGAAAAATCTTAGTCCTATTCCCTATTAGCTGTGTGACCCTGAATGAGTTAATTAACCTCTCTGGGACTGTTTTTCCCACTGTAAATTGGGAATGCCTGCCCTTAAAGAGATGCTTATGAAACATTTAGCTTTATAACATGTAAGAGGTCAGTGAGATAATTTCCATTTTTGAAAGACCCCAGCAGTCCATCAGTTCTCTTTCCTGCTCTTTTCTTTGGTTTCCAGGCTCATAAAGGATGCAGTACACCATACACAGACCCTCATGAGATCTGGGATTGACCAGCATGATGCCTGGAACCAGACTGCTATCATACACCTTCAGGCTGCTAAGGTGAGATGTCTATCAGCTGAAGTTGTGAGGGGCTCGTTCTGTTTCCCAGGCAGGCCATCAAGCTAAGAAAACTCAAGTTCACATTCTTCCCCACCCCTGCTCCACAGGGACTACCCTCATCTTACATCCAAGGCTGTAGTCCAGAGAATTTTAATTAAAGGACTTAACTCCAAAGCATCTTGCTGGCAGCCTTTAGGAAAATGTAATGAGGCTTCAGGTTGTTCAAAAAGCTCCTCCCAGACAGAAAAGCAGCTCAAGTCTTCCCTTAGCCCCACAGGCAATCCTAGGATGCCTTATCTAATTTACATTGTCTTTTGTGTTTGTGCATATTTCACCATCAGTCAGCAAATATTTGACCATCCATTCTGAGCCAGCACTGGGTACTAAACAGCGAAGACACTGCCTACAAAGAGCTATAGGCAGGCAAGCACTAGGATGGGGTAGGAAATGGCAGCTGGGTTCACTCCCTGCCAGAGCCCAAAGGACTTCCCAGAAGGGGTCCATGGGCTAAGATTTCAAGCAGCAGTTGGCTGTCTGAGGGTGGTGACAGCTTGGGAGAGGTTTCCCAACAAAGAGAGCACAGGTATCAAACCAGGAATAAAAGGCTAGGTGCCTGGGAGGCCAAAGCAGGAGAACCGAACTAAAGTGAGGTAAGGAGAGCAGGAGGGAGGCGAGGCCTGAGGCCTTCTGGAGCATGGTAAGACGGCTGGTTCTTCCTTCCCTTGCAGGTGGAGATTGCCAAATTTAGGAGGAGTAATCACAGCTTCTAGAAGAATCATGCAGGGTGCAGGGGGGAGGAAAGGACTGGAAGCCAGTCAGAAGGAAGCAGAAGCAGACCGGTCTGTCCTGAGGTTGGCTCTTCCATGAGTATGGTGGAGACTGTAGGGAGAACTGGGGAGATGCAGAAATACATGACACAGGTTACAGGACTCAAAGTCACGGGTGGGGAAGAGGTAAGAATGCCTCCTAAGCTGGGGCACCTGAGACGTCTCGCTTATCACCAACTGGAAGACTGAAGTGTTCATTCCCATTTTCAAAGCCCAGGCCTGAAAATGGCACTCTCAGAACAGTCCTGAAAAGTACCTGCACAGGCACTCCTAAGCCAGGCTGCCAGGCAGACTGAGCACGAGAGCCACCTGGCGACCCAACATTCAACCCACAGTTGGCATGAATTCTGCAGCCCTCAGCTTCTGGGCGTCTGAATTCCATTTAGTCTACTGCCTGCTATACTGAGACCCCTACCACCCAGAGGGTTAGCCAGAACTGTACACTCTCCTTAGATCACAGGAAAGGAGACACACTTGCCCAATGTTCATTTGTCTGTCTTTCAAACCTTTGTGCTGACTTTAAACACACCAACAACTGCTCGCCAGGACTCCATCAGTTAGCATAAGGGAGGCTAACAGAATCCTCTCTAAGGTGGAGGACATACAGCTCAGAGGAGTGAAAAAAAACTGAGCCAAGATACCTTCCTTTCCCATGTGCCACAAAGGCACAGATGTGTCTGTCCTCTGGAAGCTTACAGGGAGAGACCTGCTGCTGAATATTGCCTCTCACTCCCTAGTAGAACTCACTTGTCCTCCCTCATAAAGGAATTACTCCCTGAACCAGCCTCACATTCTAATCATTTAACAAACAATAGGTGTCCTGAAGGCCTCCCACTGAGGCAGGCTTTCATCCTTTAGTTGTTGGGGTGAGGAGAGAGGGAAAGAGTCCAAATGGCAGAGGTTTGGTGGCAGTGGTCATTTTGCTGATTCCCACTCTATATTAAGTGGTTAAGAACCACAGAGTCAGCCCTCTTCCATGGCCTAGTGAACAGCACTGCTTACATCCAGGACCTTATGCTTCTGCTAGTATACATTTTACACATACATTCCTCAGTGCACACACGTGCACTTTAACATGGCAGACAGTAAGTAGCTGTTTTCTTGAGAAAAGGGGGCTGCCACCCTCCAAGTACCCCAGGCTAGCCTCCAATACACCTTTCTTTCTACTTTCTTTTGTTTTTTTTGTTTTTTATAGTAAACAACAGTTCTTTTTTAATGTCAAAAGGGAATAAAATCATTTAAAAGTATTTTTCAAAGTTAAATAATGAATAAGCCCATTTTGAGTACTCTTTGCTGTAGAGTTAGTGACTTTGACATAATCAAACACTGTACATTAATGATGCAACTTTTACAGGTAGCAGGAATGTAGCTGGCTTGATTTTCACATTGGTGAAACTTCCTAGCATTGTTGCATTTGATATTTATTTGAATTTGCTCAGACTAAATAACATTACAGCTTGTAATCTAATTAAGCACCTTCCTAACACACTTTCTAACATTTCCAAGAGCTTTGAGAAGAGAAACCTAACTAAATATCCAAACACTGCAATGTATTCCTTCTCAGCTTCCTGCTTTTCTTTTCTATTTAGTTATTTATCTACCTATCTATTTATTTATTCTATGTGTTTTTCACATCATGTATTTTGATCCCATTCATTCCCCATCCCTTCGCATCCACCCTCCGCCACTGCACCCCCTACCCCCTAATAGAATGAAATTCAAGAGAAAAAAAAGGAAGAAAATAAAATGAGAAAAAATTTTTTAAAAAAGGGAAGGAATTAAAAATCCCATCATGGAAGCTGCACTGTGGCCCAACAAGTCATGCCTTTGTCCATATATCTCTACTGGCAAGTGTTCATTGCAAACAGTCATTGGTCTGGTTGTATGACCCTGGTCTTCACTACACATTCAATGCTGGGCCCCCACTAGGACTCTTCCTGGACATCCCACTCCACCCTGTGTTGTGGAGATCTTTCAGCTTTGGATCTGCAGGTGATGTCCCTTCATGTGCTCTAACAGATCATAGATGAGGTGGATGTTGGGGCAGACCAAGTCAGAACCCTGGGTCTGGGCCTGGGCAGCTGTAGGGTTGGTCTTCCAGGTGGGAGATAGTGACAGCTCTCCCACAGTCACAATTTCTGGGCTGGCTCACCCACATCTCCACTAACAGTGTTGGCTCTATTGCGCTGCCCTGGTGAGGTGCAGGGCCTGCTCTCCCAAGTGTTGGCTGGTGAGGGTCAGGGATGGCTCTCCCATAGTTATCATCACAGGACCAGCTCTCCCACCTGCCTCAGGTGTTGATGGGCAGGGGGGCAACTCTCCTTTGCTCATGCTGCCACAAGGCAGATGGGTAATGGGGACAGCCTCTAAAAGGGCTGGCTCTATTGTGCTACCCTGGCGGGGTTCAGGGCCTGCTCTCCCTGGTGTTGCAGCTGGTAGGGATCAGGGATAGTTCTCCCACTCTTATGACCATAGGGCCAGCTCTCCCACCTGCCCCAGGTGTTTCTACTTTCCAATGCTCTTGAAGATGTCTCAAGTAAATGAGGATTCCAAAGGCCCAGTTTAACAGTCTACCAAGCCCCCAACACACACACACACACACACACACACACACACACACACACACACACACACACACACACACACATATTCATACATCAAAAAGGTTCAGTCAGACAAAAAATAACCACCAATCCTCTGAAAGGCACACTTACTCTGACCATCTTCCAGGATGGCCTGTGGATCTGGGAATGAGAAGGCTTGTGCATCTTTGTGTCTTTGTAGGCTCACTGCTACTACATCACTGTGAGGAGTTTTAAGGAAGCTGTGGAGAAACTAGACAACGAATCAGCGATTCAGCAGGTGCTCCAACGCCTCTGTGACCTCTGTGCCTTACATGGTATACTGGCTAACTCAGGTGACTTTCTTCATGATGGTTTCCTGTCTGGGGCCCAAGTGGACATGACTAGAACAGCCTTTCTTGACCTACTCCCCTTGATCCGGTAAGTGACTGGGACTTGAAACCATGTTAGACTGTGGTGCACAGATTGCTTCTCACTCCAAGACCTTGCAAACTTAAGGTCTAGACAGGCTAACACCTAGCACAATTATACCAACAGAAAGCATTAGGGCTTAATGAAAAAAAATTAGAGGAATTAGGAGAAAATTAAAAATTAAAGAATAAATTAGACACCTCAGTTGAACTCTTCAACATCAGCAAGGAGAAGTATCTAAGGAATGTGAATAAAATCAAGACTCCTATATATGGGCATGTTAATATAACAATTTTAATCATAACCAGTGTTTAATGGGTATTTGTATGCTCGAAGCTTTTATATGCATCATCTCATTTAATCCATACAGCCTTTGAATTGGATTTAATCTTCCTGTTCTCTTGAGAAAGGTTAGGTTTATGAGAGTGAACTTTTATACTTTTGCATGATTAGCAGAGGAGGAGCTGGGAACATTCAGAGCTTCTGACCACTGAGCATCACTCTTCTCCTGTGTAGTACGGTGCCTGGGGAGCTCATTATTATGTATATGTTATGCATAGCCAGGTCTTTGTTAACTATGCTTTAAGCAAATTCTTACCAACTTAATAAATGTATTTTATTTCTCCCTTATATCCCTTCAAGATGCTTTTTTAGACTCAGTAATTTATGTACTGATTTGTACAGCAATAATACATATACTTTTTAAATGTAGAGCTGATCCTGTACAATTTAGAGACATGAATACTAGTGGCATTTATCCTGGTATTTTATACATAAAGTAAATATTGCTTTAGGAACACATCAAGGGGCTGGAGAGATGGCTCAGAGGTTAAGAACACAGGCTGCTCTTCCAGAGGCATCCTGAGTTCAATTCCCAGCAACCACATGGTGGCTCACAATCATCTATAATGAAATCTGGTATCCTCTTTGGCCTGCAGACATACATGCAGGCAGAACCCTGTATACCTAATAAATAAATAAATAAAACACATCAAAACCAAAGTCTGTCCTGACCAGATAACTAGAAGAAACAGGTATTAAAACACTATGAATTGCCAGGCAGTGTGGCGCTCGCCTTTAATCCTAACACTTGGGAGGCAGAGCCAGGGAATCTCTGTGAGTTCAAGGCCAACCTGGTCTACAGAACGAGATCCAGGATAGGCACCAAAGCTACACAGAGAAAACCTGTCTTGAAAAACCAAAAAAAACACTATGAATTATTTACTAGTGTCAGTATATATATAAAAACAAAACAAAAAATGGGTTAATTTGAGAACACAACAGTTTTGAAACTTTGCTGGGCAAAACATATGATGTTTATTATGTGCAGAGGGAAGTGACTTTTCCCCTGAGACCTCCAACAATTCTCATTATTAGTAAAAAGACTTTAAATATGTATAGGTTTTTATAAGAGGTTAAAAAGTTTCAATCAAATGCCTTTTGTTTCTAAAATGCAGTATTAACAAGCCCCTGTGGCTAGATGTCAGCATCTGACCAATAGCTAGTGGCTAGTAAATGTTTGTTCAATGAAACTATCAAATATGGGGCCAAAGAGATGGCTCATGGGTCAAAATGCTCCCCACTAAGCCTGACAATTTGAGTTTGATCCCAAAGAGTGGAAAGCTAGTTCCAGCTTCCATAAAGGCATTTTCTAACCTCCAAACACATACCATGGCATCTCCACCAGAATAAATAAGTAATAATCTAAACAAAAATGGTCAAAAGTATACCTAATACAATTATACCAGGTATTAAACTTACCTTAATGCAGAGGGATTCAGTATGGGACTGCTAAGGGTGTAATTTGTACTACCAAGTTCAAATGCAAGTTGGCCTGTCTTTCTGAAATGATTAACATTTTTAAAACACATGAAAAAAAAAAATCACCTGGGCCTGGCTGGAGAACACTTCATAAGCATGGTGCATGCGTGTGTGTGTGTGTGTGTGTGTGTGTGTGTGTGTGTGTGTGTGTGTGTGTGTGTGTGTAATCTGCATTCTGCTTTTCTAAGTGCTTGCCTTGCCAGAGACATAAACTGCCAACTCACACCTAGAAACCACAAATTGATTTACTTACATTGGGTCCTAAGTTTCCTTTCTTACTGCAAGGTAATTATGTGCGAAACAGACCCCATGCTCTTATCAGTTCAGAATCACAGCTGTGTGCCCCGATTAGCCACTGTCACCCTCAGATTTCGAGGATGACAAATCAAGGGCAGGACAATTCTGAGAGACACCAAAACTAGCTCTCAGTGTGAGGCCAATGAACTGATCTGGCTCAGTCTTAGTACCTTAAGTGACGATTAAAAACCTCCACTGAGGGACTTCTGAGTAAAAGTGGCAGGCTGAACATACACATTCATTTCCAAAGCCCTACTAAAACATCAGTATGAACATCAAATACATATTTGTTTTGAGACAGAGTTTCATGTAGCCCTGGCTTTGAACTTGCTGTACAGCCAAGGATAGCCTTGAACCTGTGATTGTCCTGACCCCGTTTTCCCAGTACTGGGATTACCAGCATTACCCAACACATCCAGTTTTTATGCAGTGCTGCAGTTTGAACCCAGGGCTTTGTGCATGCTGAGCAAGCATTCTACCAACTGAGGGGCTACACACCCTTATCCCTTAAAACATTAAAAAATGTAAAGGTATCAACCCACAAAGAGGAGGACAGAAGAAGCATGGAAGTTGGAGGACATGTGGACAGTGACTGGCAGACAGGTTCAGCAGAGACACAGTGCTGTGTCTGACAGTGGGGTAAAGGTGAGATGACAGAACACACTGGACTCCCAGTTTCCTCCTTCCTCATGAACCTGTTCTGCTAAAAGGGTAAACAGCAAGGCAGTGGACTAGAAAGCATTGAGCACAGCTGAGGACTGTCCTACAAAAATCACTTCACAGGCCCTTCCCAGCACATTTCCCACTGGTTCCTAGAAGGCTGGCAGCCTATACTTAAGAAGATGGCAAGATAGTCCTTCAAGCAGCCAAGGAGGAGCTAAAGATGCAAGCCACTTTTAGCATTTACAATCCATCCAGCTCACTCCACAGTGACCGCATTAAAAAGTAATCCCAGGCTTCTACTAGTTTGGCTAGTTAACACTCCGCTATCAGCTAAGATCAGACACTCAGGATCACCATGCACCAGAGGAAAGCCCTTAATCTAAAAGATGGAGACCCAAATAAGCAAGAATAAGACAACTTGAAGGATACAAATAAACCTGCAGGAAAGTAAAACTTAAAAACAGAAAAGAAACATTTGTTAAAATCACCAATATCTTCAAAGAGATAAAAAGGTCAAGATACTGCAGCTATGAAATAAGAACAAAAATACCAGACAGGCGGCGGTGGTGCACGCCTTTGATACCAGCACTCGAGAGGCAGAGCCAGGCGATCTCTGTGAGTCTGATGCCAGCCTGGGCTACAGAGCAAGTTCCAGGACAGCCAGGGCTACACAGACAAACCTTGTCTTTCTTGAAAGATCAAAAAAGCAAAAATGCCATCAATATTCAGAGAGCAGAAAAAGGGTTCTGAAATTTTAAAATAATAATATAAATAAAACATCAGTGAATGGATTGGAGATGGAGTTCTGACAACCTCAGAGAAAGAGACAAAAAAATAAAATGACTTTTTAAAAGGGGGCCAATCAATAAATTTTTTAACATATTTTAAAGAAAACTCATATTCACAGTCCATCATGTGAAAGACAGGTCAAAAAAAAAAAAAAGACAAAACCAAAAGGTGGCAAATCATCGATAAAATAATTTACGAAACTTTATCTCAAGTAAAAGATACAGAGTTTCAGGCTGAAAAGGTCCACCGTGCCTATAAGCAGGAGACAGGCCCTCACACAAACAAGCATTGCCGTTTCAAATGTTCTTGTTTTAATTTTTGTGTGCTCTTGGAGATCAAAACCATGGCCTTGAACATGCTAGGCAAGTACTACCTGTGAGCTATAGCTCCAGACCTTCAAGCATTTAAATAGGCCGAAGAAGGAGAGTGTCTAGGAAGGTGACTTCCCAGGAAAGGCCTGAGAGTTCAGGGAAGGGCCTTAGGGCAATCAAGAGAAATCATGTGGCTGCCAGGAAAAAAGGGCCAGCAAGCAGAGCACAATGTAGAAAGACAAGGAGACAGGAAACTAGAATGCTTGACTTATCTACCCAGAAGCCAGAAATAAGGCCAACAGAGGTGGGAAGCATGGCCATGGTAGAGAAGACAAAGGTGTGGGTGCACAGTGAGACAGGAGGAATGGGGTATACGATTGCAAAAACTTTAATGATCTGGGCTTTTACTATGTGTGGGAATGGGAAGGTTTTTGCTGGGTGGTGGTGGTGCATGACTTTAATCTCAGCACTTGGGAGGCAGAGGCAGGTGGATTTCTGTGAGTTCCAGGCCAGCCTGGTTTACAAAGTGAGTTCCAGGACAGCTAGGGATACAGAGAGAAATCCTGTTTCTTGGGGGGAGGGGTGGGGAGGAGAATGGGAAGGTTTTGAGCATAGCACAGTTATTGTAACCTGAAACAACCTAACCTTGTGTGTATATTCATACCTAGCGGGTATTTTTGTGGGTTTTTTATTTCAGGTTTGTTTGTTGTTGCTTTGTGTATGTGCACATGTGGAGACCAGAGGACAGCCTCAGGTGTTCTTTCTCAAGCACCAATGGCTTTTTTTTTTGGAAGCAACATCTCTCACTGGCCTAGAACTCACAAGCAAGCTAGATAGACCAGCCAGTGAGCCCAGGAGTGATCTGTCTGTCCCCACCTGCCCAGTCTAGGATTACAAATGCCCCTGTGATAAGTAGTGGCTCATGCCTTTAATCCTAGCACTCAGAGGCAGGTGGATCTCTGTGATTTCTAGGCCAGCCTTGTCTACAGAGTGAGGTCCAGGACAGCCAGGGTTACACACAGAGAAATGCTGTCTCAGAAGCAAAACAAAAATAATGCCCAACATGACACTCAGCCCCCACCTCCCCCTACACACATAAGTACTGGGAATGAAACTTAGGTCCTCAAACAGTTTATCAACTGAGCCACCTCCCAGCCCCTTATATATATTTTTGAATAATATAAAGCAGGGGCTGGGTGTACAGCTCTGAGGTAGAGTACTTGCTAAGTGTATGTAATGCCACTGATTTAACTCACAGCCCCAAAATTAATCATCATAAATAATGAATAAATAGCAGCAAGGAAATGGGTCTGAAAGCTAATGCAATAATCCAGGTGAGAGATGATCATGGACTGGACCAGAGTGGAGCACTGACTGATGTGGTGAGAAGTAGGCAAAATTTGGACATGCTTTGAAAATAGAACAATGTTTGCTGACCATTAGATATATGGCACAAGATAGAAAGAGGAAGTTGGGCCATTTATCATAAAAGAGAGAGCTATAGAAGGGCTAGGCATAGATAAGACAGACAAGATCAGGAGTTTGTTTTTGGCATTCAGTGCATTTAAAAAGCCTGTTAGAAATCTGGTACAGAAACCAGTAAGCAAATGACACAGCAGGGATAAATTTGGAGGTCAGTGGCATGTGGCTGATATTTAAAGCCATGAGAGAGATGACATCATCAAGGAGTAAGTAGATGAGAAGGACCCTCCCAAGACAGTAAGGAGACCTATACAAGAGTCGTTTCCATGAAGTGCTGGAGGTAAAAATGAAGTGAATACAGTCCTCTCCAGAAAGAGCAGAACTGGAGACAAGCAAACAAAATACTCCCAAATTCAGTCAAAAGAGGAGCCAAGATCTAGGGTGGAGAGGGAAAGGAGGAGAGCCAAATGCTTGTTTGTTTTCATTTTTTTAATTTTACAAGTATGCCTCCATATATGTAAGTGCAACACACCTGTGCAATGCCTGAGGAGTTACAGACAGTTGTGAGCCACCATCTGACTGCTGTCAGCTAAACCAAGGTCCTTTACAAGAGCAGCAAGTGTTATTAAACACTGAGCCATCTCTCCAGCACCCCTACCAAGCTTGTCTTAAGAGAGATGATAGCCAGTTTCTACACAGATGGAATGACCTCAAGGGTCATTCTGACACCGTACAGGATGGAAAAGTATCTTTCTCCTGTAGGTAAGGGCTGAAAGCATCTAGTGCACCAAGGAATGGGCAAACTAGGAGAGATCAGAGCTGACTAGTGTAAAGGAGGGCTGTGTATAATGCTCAGAGGTGGGAACCTATGGGAAGCTCATCTGACTTCCACTTGATCAGTGAAATAGGATGCAAAGTCACTCTGGTAAGGAGGAGGAGGTGGGTGCTGTAGACTTGAAGACGGAAGACTGTGAAAAAAAGTCACTAGGAGAGGGGGTCAGTGAACTAAATCAATGGAATATGACTGTTAGGCTGTGGCTCAGCTACCTGAACTCTTAAGACAGCAGCGTAGGCTGTTTTTTCCAGCCACATACAGTCACATAGGCGGTGGCAAACAGTGAAAACAAGGAGTGGCCTGGGCTATACCAGCATGACAAAAAAAGAAAAACTGCTGAATATATTTTTAGGGGGAGAATACAATGGACCATGGAATTTCAGATGACTACAGAGAGACCTGAGCCCACCAGGGTCATAGGGGATATTAAACAAGAAGTGCTCATTAAACTCATTAGCTCTTGTCAAAAACAGGAGGCTCATTAGTTATTGTCAAAACAAGATTAAAGGCCAGCAAGATGGATGGCTTGATGGGCAAAGGTACTTGAAGCCAAGACTGACAATGTGAGTTCAATCCCTAGGCTGATGATGTAAGCTTGATCTCAGAGACCCACAAGCGAAAAGACTGACTCTTGCATCTTGTCCTTTGACCTCCATGTGTACTGCATAGTTCTAGACCAGCCAGAACTACACAGTGAGACCCTGTCTCAAAAACAATCAAACAAGAACAAAACAACCAAGGCCAAATTGATCTACATGAGAAGTTCAGATCAACCAGACCTTAAGCAAGACCTTATCTCAAAACAAAACAAAAATTTAAAACACACAAATATAATTAGGTTTATTATCCTATCCACCTCAAATGTTTTGATGCCACATAGTCATCATAATGTCAACATTAATTTTCAAAATTACAACTGCATTTGAAGGCAGGAAAGCTAAGGGGAGGAAGCATGAGGTTGAGGAGATAGGGGTAAAGAGAAACTTGCTCAATCCAGACAAGTGTGTGGAACATGCCTGTAATCCCAGCAATCAGGAGGCTGGGGGTGGAGCATTGAGGGGAGTATTATATACCAGACTGGGTTGCATAGAATTCCAGGTAAGCCTGGACTGCACGATAAGATTTGTCTCCTTTTACTCCCCAAAAAGGAAACCCTTGCTTTTATAACAGTCAGTCAATACCATCTCAAACTGAAGCATCAAGAAGTTGCTAGCATTACAAAAAAATTAGGAGATATTTGCTCAACTATCAGTTAAAAGACCAACAATGTTTCCAAGGAGAAGAAACCTGGAATAGAGAGGCTGGGTGCACCAGTTGCTTTCTGTTGTTGTAGTAAAACACTGACTAAAACCAACTTGGGGAGGAAACGGTTTATTTGGTTCTCAGGTTATAGTCAATCATTGAAGGAAGCCAAGGCAGGAACTCAAGGCAGCATCTGGAGGCAGGAACTGAAGAAGAGACCATGAAGGAGTGCTGCTTACTGGCTTACTCTCCATGGACTGCTCAGTTGCCTTTTTTATACAACCTAAGACCACCTACCTGTGGGAGCCTGTTTTGGGGTTCCTCGTGGCTTTACCCAGCAGGTCCGCATAGAGGATGATTAGGGCCACGGGCCTGAGTGCAGGTGTCTGAGATGGTCTGCACTTGGCTGTGCTGGGGGAGGAGGTCTTTTGTGCCACCCCTTGGCGTCTCTATAAATACCCTGGGACAGAGACAGTCGGGGCCCCGTTGGAATAGGTTCCAGGCCCTCTCGAGGCTATCCTTTGTTTTCTATGTTTATCTCCACAATATAATCCTTCTATCTAATATTTCCTGCTGCTCACACTCAAGAAAACTCTGGGGAGCTGTGGGGTTGGTTGGTAAACGCCCCACACCTACCCAGGGATGGCACCACCCACAGTGGGCTGGGCACCCCCATATCAATCATTAATCAAGAAAATGTTCCAACGACATGTTTACCAGCCAATCTGATGGAGGCAATTCCTCAGCTGGGGCTCCCTCTTCCCAAGTGACTCTAGTTTGTGTCAAGTTGATTAAAAAAAAAAAAAAAAAAAAAAACCTAACCAGCGCACTGCTAGATAGGCTGCTTTTTTTTCATTTATTTTTTTCCAATGTTGGGAATTGGATACTGGACTTTATGCCCAGTAGGTAAGCCCTATTTTTTTTTAAATAACAAGCCTTAAAGAACTCTATGATTCTTTATCCTGTGCATATATAACTGACAAAAGTAAAACCCACGGGGCTGGAGATATGGCTCAGCAGTTAAGAGCACTGGCTGCTCTTCCAAAGGACCCGGATTCAATTCCCAACACCCACATGGCAGCTCACAGTTGTCTTTGACTCCTGTTCCAGAGGATTCAGCACCCTCACACAGACATACATGGGAGCAAAATACCAATGTACATAAAATACAAATAAAGTTTAAAAAAAAAGTTAAAAAAAAAACCCAAAGATGAATTGTTCAAACAGCAGATAATGATGCAACTTCTAATTATTTCCTGTGGATCAATAAGGTGAAATGCTCATAATTTGTCTCCTCTCTCAGGAAAGATGCAATCTTGTTAACTGATGCTTTTGACTTCACGGATCATTGTTTAAATTCTGCACTCGGCTGTTATGATGGACATGTCTATGAACGTCTGTTTGAGTGGGCTCAGAAGTCACCAGGCAATACTCAGGTAGTTGAGTGAAACCCATTATAAATTATGTAAAACAACAGAGAACAAGCAGTAAATACATCTCCATGTTTCCCATTTTAATCAATTCTGCTTACGTTGAAAATCACTTGACATAGAGCATCTGTTTAAAATACTTTTAGGGAGTACATAAAAGAAATCAGGGGTGCGACTTGGCAGGAACTGAAATCAGCAAAATGCACAGCTCAGAATGTGCAAAGGGCATTAAGAGAAAGGCTCATGTCTAAATCATGGCTTGACATACCCAAAGGCACACACATAGAGCAGCAAGCTGGCTTTTACATTAACAAAACTAAGATAAATCATATCAGTGGTAAACCATCTTATTTTCAGCCTTTTAGCTCCATTTTATGTAGATAAAACAGGATCAGAGGTAACAGGAAATTTGAGGTACTGCCGTTATGTGGGCAGGAAAAGTACATACATTATAAGGGGGGGTGGTGATAAGACTGTTCTGGATGGAATTCCAGTTATCCCAGCCTCACTGGACAAAGTTAAGAACATCAACCAGTAGTACTGTACTTCGAATTTAGGGAACCCATCCTGAAGAGCAGATTTGACACAGATGATCCCAACAAGGGACCTATCTATCTATAGGCACACACAGTGTTAGGTATATTAGATTTTAGAAACAAATGTCTTTCAGATGGTAAAACTTTCTCTTTAGTCCAGCTTCAGAAAGGTGTCTTAACAAAGTAGTGACCAACACTCACACTTAGCCAGACTTGCTCTTGACAGTCCATATTCTGTCACACGTCAGAGCTTAGCTTAACACTGTCATCTAAAGTCATAACCTCAGAACGGCTGCCAGACAGGCCAGTCCATTTCAGTCAAGTGCCATCCACAAGATAACATCGTTTTAGCTCAAGGAAATATAAACAATTTACCTACACATTCACTGCTCCTATGGTTAGCCTACTTCTAACACATTACTTTTCTAATGATCATTCCTCTGTCCTTGCTAATGTTTAAATCCTGGCATAAAAGCAAAGCAGTTCTTCCTAATCCAGCCTGCTTCCCATGGTCTCAAGAGAGAACTATGTCCTTTGGTATTCCATAGAACCATCATGCCTTTCCCTGTTCACCTGTCAGAATGCTGAGACACATAGCTCAGACCTGTTTCATTGGCAACCCAGGCAACATTCCACTCCCCGAGATTCCTCATGGTCACCAAAGACTGTAGTGGACCATCTTGTTTTTGTTCATTCTTAAACACTTTAATCTGGAAACCATAGCAGGTTTGTAGAAATGAGACATGACTGGCCCATCGCACTGATTCTGTAAAATGCTGACATACTTCATCCTGTTCTTTAGTCTCTACTTCCTTCTATTTGAACAAGGATGAAGCTTCTTATGACCTACATGATACAAAAGCAGCCAGTGTATCCAGACACCACAAATACTCATCAGCCAGCCTTATGTTACCTTGTTAAGTGACTGGTGCAGCAGTGTGGTTCTTTCATGAATGGCAGTTTAGAAATGTGAGGCTACAGATGACTTTGACTCCCACTTGGTCAAAATGATACTTGGTTGACTGCTAATACGTAGCCACATGATCTTATACTTTCAGATCCTTTGAAAAGCACCAACATTTTTAAAGCCTATATTTTGATCTGCCGTAGTCTGAAGTACAGCAGACATTTTAATAGAAAAAGGCACATTACAGGTAAAACAGCCGCTATGTTGTACCCTGTGGACACAAAAGTACAAGTAAGAATATTTTTCACTGGTGTTCATATGCTGGAAGTAAAGTGCTATGTGCTAGGCTGTATGTCTTAGGGCCACAGGAGCCTCTCCTGTCTGGAGCAACCTGTGCTGAGCTTTCTCCCTAAACAGGATGACGTGTGCTTTTGGCTTTCTGACTGATCTAGAAAACTGCCACAGAAGATTCTCCCTCTTCATGTGAAATCACGTCCAAGTGATTCCCTAAGGCAGCAAGAAGGAATCATCAGGGGTCATTTCAAACCAAGAATCCCTTTTTTTAGTGTTTGTTTAAGGGTCTTGTGTAGCCTAGGCTGGCCTTGAACTCCTAACTCCCAAATGCCAGGATTACATGTGTACATCATCACACCCCTGCAAGAATCCTAATCTCTCAGTAACTATATTGTAAAAACATGCCCAAGGAATAGTGAGAAGTGTTAAACATTCTGGTTCATTCTGTCATTCAAAGAGTATTTATTGTGCAATAGTGGTGTGCTAGTATTGAAGAAACGGTGGAGAACAAGGGTGTAGACCTGTGTTAAGGACCTTAGGATTTTTGTTTTGTTTTGGTTAAGATTTATTTCTTATATATACAGTGCTCTGTGTGCATGTATGCCTGCGAACCAGAAGAGGGCACCAGATCTTATTACAGATGGTAGTGGGTCACCATGTGGTTGCTGGGAATTGAACTCTAGTGCTCTTAACCTCTGAGCCATCTCTCCAGCCCCCCAGGACCTTATAGTTTTACTGTAAAAGAAAAGGAAATAAACAAGAAAATAGTATGGAAGACTAGAGTTTAGCTATGAAGAAAAGAATTCAGATGCTGCAGTAGAGGATGGTGGGAAAGCCTATTAACACACAGAATATCACCTACCTGATTCTTTCTGGTTGCCTGCTTTGTGGTTCATGTTCAGTTTTAAAGAGCCTCAAATACTGAAGGCTTTTACTTGTATTAAATTCCAAAAACAAAGAATAAGCTGTAGGTTTTTCTTATAATTAGCCACCTGCATGCAGTTTAAAAATCTAAGAAAGGAGGCTTTTTGGAAAAGTGTTTACCATATGTTCACACAAAATGAATTTTAAAAATAATTTGAAAAATTAAGAATCTTGGGTAATTGCCAGGTGGTGGTGGCACACACCTGTAATCCCAGCACTTGGAAGGCAGGGAGGTGGATCTCTGTAAGTTCAAGGCCATCTTAGTCTACAAAGTGAATTCCAGGACAGTCAAAGCTGTTACACAGAGAAACTCTGTCTCGAAAAACAAAACAAAAAAGAATCTTAGGTAATATTACTCTTTTAACGTGAAGTACTTAATTTGAAAGTGAAGTTATTAATTCTAGAAGTGTTCTTCTAATAATGTGATTCCTGTAAACATAGGAGAACCCTGCCTATGAGAAATATATCCGACCGCTGCTACAAAGCTGGAGACCCAAGCTGTGAAAAGCCAACAGTATTCAGGATCAAGAAGTACTATAGTGATACTACGGCATACATCTAAAGATTTAAAGTTAAAGCAAAGGCAGAGTGGCTAGTTCCTCAACTCTTAGTAAGCTGGTACGTGAATGAATGTTCATCATATTATTCTACTTCTGAGTATATCTGAAATTTCCCTTTGTCTATTTGTAGTATGTATTTGGTTAAATGCTAGAATTTTCCTTTAAAAATAACAAAAGCCAATAAACTCATTAGTCACTTGTGGGATGGTCTGTATGTCAAATGTGTTGCTGATTGGTCAATGAATAAATCACTGATTGGTCAGTGGCCAGGCAGGAAGTAAGGCGGGACTAACAGAGAGGAGAATTGAGAGAACAGGAAGCTGGGTGGGAGAGACACTGCCAGCCGCCATGATGACAAGCCGCATGTGAAGATGCCGGTAAGCCACGAGCTATGTGGCAAGGTATAGATTAATGGAAATGGATTAATTTAAGCTGTAAGAACAGTTAGCAAGAAGCCTGCCACGGCCATACAGTTTGTAACCAATATAAGTCTCTGTGTTTACTTGGTCGGGTTTGAACGGCTGTGGGACTGGCAGGTGAGAGAGATTTGTCCTGACTGTGGGCCAGGCAGGAAAACTCTAGCTACAGTCACTACTTATGTTGTTTATTTATCGAGGGTATGCTGGGATCGAAAAATCTGATGGAAGTCAGCAAGCACTCTACCACTTACCTTTAGCATTTACCCTCAGGTTTACAGGAACACATATGCAGTCTTTCAAAGGTACCTGGATGTGCTATAATCTAAATAAAATATAAAGGCTCAGAATGCAACATATCATTTTTTTGAAATCAACTCTTCCATAGTAAAAATTATTTAAGATTTCATAAAGAGGCAGAATCATCTCAATATATTCAAATATAACCAAACTACATTTTTCATTTCATTTCAACTACACAACAACATAAAATAGTTACAGCATGACAGCTAAGTGATGAGCACTTACCTAACATGAACAAGACCCTGGTCAATCCCTAGGACTGAGGGAAAAAACAAACAAAACTTAAAAATCCTGCTAGCTGCTTTTATTCATAGAAGCAATCATTTACCTGCTAATAATTAGTGAACCAGAGAAAATTTGCCAACAGCAAACTTCCCTTTTGGGAGAATGGGGACAAGGAAGAGAACTCAGAAATATTCCCTTTTCCCAAACTTGAAACTAGTATTACTCCTACTTCCACAACTTTAAACATATATATGCATATATATATAGGTTTTGTGTGTGTGTGTGCGTGTGTGTGTGTGTGTGTGTGTGTGTGTAAGCAAGCCAGTGGTGCCAGATCTGCCTAGAGCTAGAGTTACAGGAATTGTGAGCCACTGCTGTGGATGCTGGGCACCAAATTCCAGTCCTATGCAAGAGCAGCAAGTGCTTTAACCCAGAGCCTTCCACAACAGTTCTGAACCCAAATCATTACTTCATATTGACTTCAGCTAGCTCCATGGCACATGACCAATTTGGATCTTTATTTAAGAAACCATATATCAATTTACAATAGGAGCAAATGTTCCAAACGGTAACTTCTCTCCAGTTCATCAATATACTGAAACTATAGCAACCGGTCAATAACAATGAAGTATCCTAGTTTGAAGATGAGGTAATCATGGGTTTCTTGTATGTGTGTGGGAGAAGGGGGGGTAGTTTGGCAATCTTAAATTTTCAAAGAGACATGTAAGTAAATATGTTCATCTTCCTTTCAAAGGGAGAATCTTAGAATAGTCTCAGAGAAGAGGAAAAGTGTCTTGTCTGCCCTAGGGCCAAAACCACAGAAGTCCACAATTCCCTTAAAACAGGGAAGTTGTTATGTGATGTTCACAAACTAGAAAGTCTCACCATAATTAACACACTCTTTCCAATGAGTAACTTTCAGGCAACAGAATCACATCAACTCTGAAACAAGACAATCATGAAATAAGCATATGTACATACGTTTTCCCAAGTGTTTCCAATCCTTCACTGCAATTTATTTCTTCTCAGAGTTGAACTTAAGCTTGATAAAAACATACATTTGCGGCTACCACAATACATGAGAATAGAATCGCTGGAGTCATTTTGTCCCCACGTGCAGCACAAGCTGGAGTGAGTCATATTCATAGCTGTGGCAGTTAAAACCCTGTAATAGTCACTGTAAATCCTATATGAAAAGACAAAACTGTTTATCTCCGGTAACACAGCTGGCTTTATGAACTCAAATCTAAGGTTCCACTGAGTCCTGTCAACTCTATTACAAATGTGCTATAAGCAGTTTAATTGAGACATAAACAATGCATACTTTTGACAAAGAATATGATTTTCCCCTTACATAACAATAAATACAACCCTTAATGTTCATACTCCATTTTTTATTAGATTTTTCTTTCCTGGTAGACAGTACACTTGGGAATGAAACTGTACCAGGCATAAGGTTTCTACCACAGAGACATTCTGTATCGAGAATCCAATATAAATATTTCTAGTCAGACATTTCAATGGCTACAGATATTTGGTTGCTTGATTTATATGCATAGAAAGAAACAGTTGTCAAACTGTAGGAAGCGGTCCTTAACAAGTACCAGCAGATGACTGGCCAGGTTTCCTTTAATATACTGCTGCCTACTGGTCTGGAAATGAGGTCACCCTACATGATATTCTGATTTTTCTCAAAGACATCATGAATACTCTGCTTAATCTTTCATTACCGTATTTTAAGCCTTCCAGTTGAGTTAGGGACCACATTATCAGAAATCATTTTAGCACTGTTAAGGGTAGATTATATATCATAATGATTTTCAGATCTCTTTTAGAAAAAAAAAAAAGGTTTCTGGAGACTCTGAACAGGCACATGCATACTTGGGAACAAAACAGGGAGAAGACTGCTCATACACAGAACTTCTGGTCCTCAATGCCTTCAAATAAATACAAATATTAAAAGGGGGGGCACACTATGATTTAAAAAACAATAACAGTCTCTTCCATGTCCCAAGAAAACATGAGCTTATAGGAAGTTCTCCTGAGGGTTAATGATCAGTCATCTGTCTTCCGGGCCAGTCTACAGAAAGTCCAGTTGTGCTCTACTGTGTTCTCATTGGCCCTCTCGCTCATGTGATGCACCCGAGTATTTCGGATCGTGAAACCTTGCTTTGTAATGTATTCCATAAGGTGGACCCGGAGAGAGACTTCCTGGTGATAATCGCATGGTCCAAAGGTGAAGGAAACCTGGCAGTCTCTGGTGTCCATCATGTGCTTATTCCACTTGGTGAAATAATTTGAGATGCCTTCTAGTAAGGAATGGACCTTGGTGGTGATGGTTAATTGAGTTATGATGACAGCCACTGGATTGGAATATTTAGAAAGCTTCCGAGTACTAGACAGCTCTACAACTTCTTCAAAAGTATCCATAGGATACAACGGCTTAGGGTCATTGAGACACTGAATTAAGGGTTCAATCTGGTAAAAATCAGCTTCTTTTCGAAGCAGATCAAATTCCTTAAAATCCAAGGGGAGGGTCAATTCTGAAGTTCGTAAGAAGTTGAGGACATAGCGGAAAAGAGGTCCATCTCGATCAATGAAGTAATTGCCTTGAGGGTCTCGGGCTGTGGGGAAGTCCCCCCCAAACATAGCTCCAAGCATGGAATCTGGGTAACGTGTCAATGTGGTAAGGGACGTTGTGTACAAGTGTCCACCTACATTCAACGTGACTGGGTCAGTCATCTGAAATGCAAAAAACAATCACCTGAAATCATAAAATCTTAACTTCAACAAATTAAGAAAATAAATACCAATAAGCAAGCATAAGATCCCTTCAAGTGGGTTGGGTATTTAGCTCAGTGGTAGAGCGCTTGCCTAGCAAGCGCAAGGCCCTGGGTTCGATCCTCAGCTCCAAAAAAAAGATCCCTTCAAGCTATAATATATCTGGCAGTTCTAGGGTGCAAAATGGCTTTATTTTCAATAATAAAACTCACCCGAGAAGGGCTTCAACATTTGCTCTCAAATCACATAAATCCAATCTTTTAAAAGTTACTCTACTCCTGCCAGGTGTGACCTTTAGTATCATACAGTCAAGTCCAGACTCTGTAGAGGTTTTGGGTTAGATCTGCCTGCCTCTACCTCCCTAATGGGATTAAAGGTATGTGCCACCACATTTGACATGACCTTAAGATTTTTTAAAAATTTAACAGAAGCTAGAATAAAAATAATCTGATAATGTAGCAACAATTAACTCTGGGACTTCTTTGGGTTTTTCTCCTCAAAGGAGACATGTAATTTTTTTTATTTTTTATTTTTTTAGACAAAGTTTCACATAACTTAGTCTGGCCTCATATTCACTGTGTAGCTAAGGGTGGTCTAGAATTCCTGATCCTCCTGCCTCTGCCTCAATCCTAAGATCACAGGTGTGCGCCATCACACCCAGCTACAAAAATCTGTGTATTTATTTATTTATATATTTATTTTATGTGTGTGAGTGTTTTGTCTGCATGTATGTATATGTACCTCATGCAGGCCAAAGGTATGGATGGATCTAGGAAATGGAAGTACAGATGGTTGTGAGCCATAGGCTAGATGCTGGGAACCAAACCCAGATCCTTTGCAAGAGTATAAGTGCTCTTAACTGCTGAGCCAGCTCTCTAACTCCAAAATGTATCTCAAAGATAAAAATTTGTTTAGAATTAATCTTGGTAATTTTCTTCATGGAAGCAACAATTTCTTTTTCTTTTCTGGTTTTTGTTTTTGTTGTTGTTGAGATAGCATCTTACTGTGAAGATAAAGCAGGCCCAAACCTCACAAACCTCCTGCTTCTACCTCCCAGGTGCTGATATTACAGGCCTGTGCCATCATGCCCAGGAAATAAGTTTCCAAGACTAAATTAAAATATATAAGGTTTGGTGGACACAATCTAGTCTATGTCTAGCCCTAAGCTACCATATACCCAAGGGCTGGTAGCAGCTTCAAAATGTCATAATCTGATTGTATATCCACTTTTATAACATTAATGCTGCAATCTGACCTTTAATTCTAAGAAGGAAGCTTCTCAAAATAACACACCTCCAGCTTTAGAAATCCTATTTAAGAAAAAAAAAATCAAACATGGTCTTCAGGTTCTAAGAAAGTGAAATATTTCTTACCAGATGAAGAAGGAAATAGGGAGACATAGACACATGTGAAAATTGCATGTGAGAAGAAACTCCTTCTACCTATTAATCCCTTTACTACAACAAAGAATTCTCCATTCTATTCTCCCCAGCCCTTTGGACATTCCAATCTATGAACAGAGAATTTAAAAAGTAATATACACCAAAGACCAAAGCATCATGGTCTACCTGACATTAGTGATTATAAATAGTTACTAGGGGGTAGAGAGATGCCAGGGGTTAAAAGCAATGTACTACTCAGTGGACCTAAGTTCCATTTCCAGTACCCATGTCTAGGTGGCCCATAGCAGCTCCAAGGATCATATGCCCTCTTCTGGCCTCCAAGAACACTGCTTCACCACACATAATTAAAACAAAATAAAATTTTAAGCTATTTGGAGAATATGCATTGAGTCTTTCACTAAAACATCAAACCAAATAAAAATGCTCACCCCAAATACATCTAGACAAATTAGATGGACTTGCACAAATTCATAGTTTTCATCCTTGTAAGATAAGCCTATGAATGTGCAACTAAGAAAGACATCAAAATCATTTGCCAGCCTTCAAAGTGCAAGAACCACTCACCATATAGCCCCAGTCTCCATTATCCATCTGCTCCAGCACTGCGTCTTCAGAAGCCCAGGAGCCAGAAGACTCTGGAAGAAGAAAAACAAACACATAACTATGACAATGGAGAATAAAGGCTATTCTGCCCAAGGTAATAGATCAAACTTTACAAAGACTAGAACCTACATCGGGCCAAAGATGTGGGGAAGAAAGCTATACCATGCTGTGTCCTTACCTCTGGAGCCCACTGGGCACAAAGAACTAGCCTATACTTGAGAAAGAGGAAAGGATCATTCAGTCTCTCTCTCTGGGCTGGCAAGATGGCCCAGTAGGTAAAGTTGCTTACCTGGAAACCTGAGTTTGATCCCGAGGACCCTCATGGTGGAAAGACAAAACTGACTTCCACAAGTTGTCCTCTGACCTCCACACACAGTCACATGCACCACATGTAATAAAAAATCTGACAAATTCTGCCACTCTTCTCTGAAGATGTAATTATTAGATTTTCAGAGAACACTATGATTAGGTCTACAACTTTATATTGATTCAGACCTATAAGATGCTTTACATCAAAAAAGTCATTTAAGAGAAGGGAGGGGGGAGATTCTTTTGGATCAGCATGCCAGTCGTATAAACTACGCATATCAGAAAGCATTTAAAATCATGAGCTTCAAAAGTAATGGTCACTTTCCAAGGGAAAAACACCAGAATATATTATTATCTTATAATGTAAAAAACCAATCAGGCTTAATAATGAAGTATTTCTCTTTGTACATTCATCAAAACAGACAGAAACCAATTTAAATGTCACACTGTTAAGGCACAATTTGGTACAAAAAGAACCTTACAGACCTGGCTGAGGGCCACTCAGCCAGCGCCATCGAGAGCCAGTCTTAGGCCACTGGCAAATGCCCATGTACTAATGATGCCGGCTTCAATCTGCCTTTATCTCCAATTCAAGGGCATGCCACAGTTCCCCAGCCTTCATCAGTTCCCTCTCACACACTCTATTCCCAAAATCAACCTGCAAAGCAAACTGCAAAGCAAATTTCAAAAATCACTAGCAAAGATGCCAAGAAACATGGATTCATCAGTCCTTTCACCAGGAAAAGCACCATGTTTGTATGAGGTCTTTGAAGATGAAGATGCGTTTTTTCCCATTTTTAGTGGAATCTGGTCCCCATTACCAAAACAAGAACAAGCCCTGGCTAGAGAAGATCACAAAGGCTCTTTCTCAAAAGGTCACTCAGGCATGTAGAGAACATTTGCATAGCACAGCAGGGGCTGAAATCAGAGCCTGCAGGAGCTATTTCTCCACCGTTACAATTTCTTCAAAGCAAACAAGCTAAAATGTAGACCAGAGCAGTCAGCTGTCATTCTTTACTCTCAGCAGCTGGGTACAGACAGTCAGGCCTCCACATACTATAGTGAGATGGAACAAACAAGACCAGAGCTATCTCACCTTTTCATTCTCTGACTTACTCCACAAACCACATCTGATGTAAATGGAAGAAATGAGCTTTACCAATTTTTTGGTTTCATTACTAATAACAACAAATCAACGATGAAGTGAGTTAAAAGGCATTTCCCCAAACTCAAAGTATTCTTTCCCCACTGCCTCAATAATCATTCAACCAAAATTTATTTTAGGTCTACTATCACGGGGCAGGGGAGCCCATGTGAAATACAGACACATAGGAATAAGATAGTGTAACCCTGACCTCGTGGAGCTTTCGATCTACGAAAGAAGGCAACATGCAACAACTGAAGTCCACCATATAATTCTAAACTGCTCTATACTAGGAATGGACTGGTGGAGCCCTCGGGAGGAAGAGACCTAGACTCCAAGTGGGAAAACGCAGGGCTGCAGTGAAGAGATGGCCCAGTGGGACAAGTGCAGCCTGAGAAGTGTTCTAGAGTCTTTCTGCTGGGGAGCACAGTCCTGTTTAGTTTTAAGATAAAGAGGGAGGAACACCTGAATAAGAACTTGTGTTTTCTGACTCCTCATCTAGAGTTTTCCAAAGGCCCTTCCTATAGTAGAAATTCAAAGAACAAAATACAAAAAACAAGAGAGTGAAAGCAACTTTGTACTCCCTATAGTCAACTCTTAACTCCATCCACCTGGCACTTTATTTACAATTTTACAAAAACTTAAGCTAACTAACTAGTTATAATGAGTCTGTACAAATTTCCACTACTAAATAAAAAATGGCAAGAACCTACTCAGTAGTGTGACTGATGGCTGCTGTCCCATCTTAAGCAACAGGAAGAATTTCAGTTCATGAACATTCAAATGGCTAATGAGGAATGGAGGCCCAAAACCTAAGAAAATCAGCAATATCATCGCGCTTTTTTTTTTTTTTTTTTTTTTTTTTTGGTTTTTCGAGACAGGGTTTCTCTGTGTAGCTTTGCGCCTTTCCTGGAATTCGCTTTGGAGACCAGGCTGGCCTCGAACTCACAGAGATCAGCCTGCCTCTTCCTCCCGAGTGCTGGGATTAAAGGCGTGCGCCACCACCGCCCGGCAATGTCACCCTTCTTATGCCAGGACTAACCTTTCATGTTTATGTCTTCACTTCTAAATCAAAACAAGATAACTTCTTGTGCAAACATTAAAACAAACAAGCAAAAAATTAGATGTTTCTGAATCTCTTCCATAGCAAAAGCCAAGGTCTGGCTACAAACATATAATGTTCCTCAAGCTTAATAATTTAGGAGAGCAGCCATGGAAATGTACGTGTTCTCTCCCTCCCTCCCTTCTTTCCTTCCTTCCTTTTTTTCCTCCCTCCCTCCCTCCCTTCATGTGTGGGGGTTGGACGCGGAGGCACTTGGGCCAAGTTGTACCTTACTATGAAGCTAGCTCCGTGATCCAAGCTCAGGTTTCTTAAAAAGCACCTCAAGGCCTTGTATGTAAAATACATCAAAATAAAATGAGACCGTCTCTGCTAGTCACTTCCAATATAACTAAACTACCTAAAAAAAAAAAATAATAATAAATTGTTCACTAATAAACTAAAAAAGGGGAAAAACGTAGTCTTCATTCATTTAAAAATGATCTCTGCGCCTTGCTTGTAAATCTCTACAAGAATCTAGAAACAGGGAGGGGGCAAGATTCTTGCTTATCCAACAGCCAGGTTCTGAATTGATAACTATCAGGGACATCTCAGACATGGATGCAGTAACACACAGCCGAGAAGACTTTCCAGAACAGCTTCAGTCTCTCCCACTGAACCCTTTCCCAGGGCGCTAACAATTCAATTCCTTTTCATCTTCTCTCCCATCCGGCACAATCTGCAGTGGAGGACTTAATGAGAAGTTTAAATAACCACAAGCCAGGCAACAGAAGGCCATCAAGTGGGCATCAAACAGGCCTGTTTTACTTGAGGGGAAGGTAAAGAAATACTTTTTAATAAAATCTGTGAGACGGTCCTCATAAAATTCCTTTAAAAGTATTTCCCTCACTAAAGAACCTGCAACCAAACAACAACTATAAAGTTCGAAAAAAGGCTTTTTGACTTTGTAAAATCAGTTCACCTGAAAATATCTGACCTTTGATACAAATAAAACTCATCCTAAAGACTAAGCTTCAAAGGTTACTGTAGCTAGTGTATAAATGAACAGCATGTGAGAAGGTAGTTTAGAAAAACAAATCCAGAAGAATTTCTAGGAGCTGAAAGAAATTATAAACTTACTGACCTAGCAAATCTGAAGAATGCCCAATTCAGTAAGCTAACTGCTTAAAACCATGTGAGAACCCCCAGGGGTATCCTTCTCAGCACAGCAAAGCTGCATTAGGGGCTACAATAAATAACACAAATATTCTAGACTTTCTTCTGCTATAGACTGAGGCTCCCCAGGTCAAAAGTCCTACGCTAAGGAGTAAGACAACAGTAATCGCTTCCTTCCCAGGGTTTCTGAGTAGCCCTTTCAAGTGCTTTTCTACAGGGACCTCTGGACCTGGTATCCCAAAACAAAGACTCAGTAAATTCTCTCCACCTACACTTACCTTCCAAATTGCCTTTGTACTAAGTTTCTCTGTTCTTGGAAACGTGGGAGTTTGAAAGTGAAATTTTTTTTTATAATAGTTGGTTCAATGGCATCTAAAGGAGTCATATGAGTTAACATCCACATACAGGCCAGCACAAGTTGCCAAGCACACCAGGATAATGGAATTATAAAACTAAATTACCAATAACTAAACCAGAGATGGACTTTTTTCTCTTTCTCCTCCTCTCTTAACCATGTGGGCTAGAAAAAAGGAGATGAAAGCAGAAAACAGAAAGTCTTACAAGAAATTATAAGTTTTCTAAAGTATCAAAACAGAAGAATACACACTCTCCAGTTAAAGTGTTGTCAGAGTACAAAAAAAATAAAATCATAAAATTCCACTTCCCCTTAGTTTCCACAAAAAAGGGGCAATTATGACCTTCCCAGAACTAAACACAACACAGGTAAAACTAGCTGGCAGGGCAGTGATGAGGGATGGAATTCTGAAGTCACTGCGCTGCCTCCCAGCAGAGAGGGCTAGCTATGAGTACATGAGAACCTGAGTAAATCGCTCTTTACTCCTGGAAGCATAAACAAAATCTGAGTAGCGAAGTCAGGCACAGTGGCAAACATGGAGGTGGAGTTCAGTCTGTGCTCCCAATTGCCCAGGCCCTCCTTTCCCAGGAGTTCCCACAACGGCTGGCTGCCATAGGAAGAACTAGCGCTCACAGACACATGAGCTCTCGGAACTTCTAGAAAGCATGACTCAGGGATGTCTCCAAGATAAAGCAGAACACAATTATATGTGGTCCATTTAAAATAGACCCCAGCTATTAACATCCAAGATACACAGATTCATAGGAATGATTATAAGATTGCTTTATATGATACTGTTTCCGCTAAAATGTGCTTGAAGAAAATTCAAGCCACAAACCTTACTGATGGCATCATCTATGGCTATCTTTCTTTCTAAGGCATTACAAAAAAACTAAGAATCCGTTCAGGCACCTCGTTCTCAAGGGCGATTCTCCTACCCCACCTACCTGCCCACCTGGACCTTTGCTCTTTTGAAAACACTTCTCGGTTTCAGGCCTGTACTACCCCAGCATTATTAACCTACTAGAATATTTGCAACAGAGAAAAAGAAGAGCCTGCCAAGGGTGATACGTTGGAGACAGATGCTTGGGATATCCCAAACATTCTTAGCCAAACCAGATCACCCAAACGCCTTGCATTACCAAATACTACAACCGGGTTTATCAACTTGCTGTGTGAACTGGTGTACTGAACAGAAACATGACAACTTCAGCAGAATATCCAAACAGGATCTCAGTCACGTTTCGTTTCTCCGTCCCACCCCCAGACACAGCCTCCTCTGCCATCGCCCAGCAGGTGCTGCAGGGGCTCCCCACGACCTCGCCAAGGTTCACCTCTGACCCCCAGCACTAAAACGCCGAGACATTCCAAAATCCCAGCAGAAAGCTGCAATCTGTGCAGAAAACCCCAAAGGCGGGGCTTTAAACTAGGGCAGTGCCGACTAATAAGCGCCACTCCCCAAAAACAATCCTTTCCCCGCAGAACCCGCGGGGGCCGGGCCGGGCCGGGCCGCACTCTGCGGTCGCCCGCAAGCCAAGCCCGGCCGGCCACGCGCACCGAGCCCCGAACCCGAGCCGGAGCCCGGAGCCCGCGGCGGCCGCGCGTCCCCGGAGTCCCCCGCCCAGGCCCCGCCGCGGGCTCGCGCCGCCCCCGCCGTTCTCCTCAGCCCGACTTCCCGCAGCCCCGGCCCCACAGGCCCGGCTCCCGCCCCACTCACTGCGCGAGCGCAACGGCGACCCGGCCGGGAGACGCCGGCGGCCCGAGAGCGCGAGCGCGGGGACGAGCGAGCCTGCGCCCGGCGGCGGCGGCGGGGACGACTGAGCCGGCGCCCGGAGTTGCGGCTCCAGCTGCCCGGCGCGGGCGGCGCCTTCTCAGCAGAGTCGCGGCGCCGAGAGCGCGGACGCCCCCTGTCGGCGGCGCGGGGCGGAGGCCGGGGAGCCGGGCGGCCGCGGGCGCTCTGGGCGCTGCGGGGTCGGCGTGGTCAGGCCGGCTCTGCAGCAGTCCCGAAGCCCCGCCTCTGGCCCGTCCCTGTCCCCGCCCCGCCCAGGACTCCCTCGAGGAGCCCCGCCCAGACCCCGCCCCTAACTCCGCCTCTGCACTCCGGCCGTAGTCCTCCCTGCCGCCGGAGTCCCTTTGGCGCGTGCCACGGCCATCGTCTGTTTTTGCAGCCGTTCCTCCTCAGCTGTTTTCACTGAATTGATAGACCTCATCGTATGCTGGGCTTGGAGAGTACACTCAGACCGAGGCGAATCCCGAGACTCAAGAAAGCAGCCAGTAGACAGAATAAAACAAGTTCGAATGCTGTTGGGAGGGGCCTAACTAGAAGGCTGCCGCGGAGAATTAGGGAAAAGGGACTCCTGCTTTCAGATGTGAGGCTCTGTCTATATGGCCAGAGCCCCCATTCTGTACATTAATGGCTGTGAGGGACCTCCTATCCGGCCCTTGGGGAAGCAAAGAATAGCCGGTTAGAAGGGCAGCGCTAACATCATCCTGTACAAAGCCTCTGAGGAGCTTGGCCTGGATGGGGCTGGCAAGGATTCTGTCCCCACTTCAGGAGGGAGGCCAAGGCTGTAGAGCTAATTGGACTTGATGTATAGACTAGTTCCAAAAGCCATTCACTTCTAGCTAGCTGGATCGCATTCCACTTCTACATGGATGAAAAACCACTGGCCTTAGAAACTCACGTGGGCCAGGCATGGTAAAGGTGGTGCATCCCTTTAATCCCAGCACTGAGGCAAGCAGGTAGGTCTCTTGTGAGTTCTGGGTTAGCCTGGCCTACATAGAAAGCTCCAGGCCAGTCAGGCTACATAATGAGACTTTGTTTCAAAAAAAACAAAACAGAAACTCACCTGGTTTACACATCTGCATGTTTCTGAGGTAATTCTGGAATCTAGTTTTTATGAATATGATCATCAGGGTCATATCTAATTTTCTCCAAAAATCAAATTGATAGGTTAAATAAGTAACATGGACTTCAACATAATGGAGGGCTACACTGACATGTTCACTAAGTGAGAATACAAACTAAGTAAGGTGCTGCGGGCCGCAGGAATATATCATAAGAACTCAGCTGGTTATGGCAAAGTCACTACCTTGAGGGATCAGGAAATTCCTCCAGAGGAAGCCAAATCCCAAGGAGTTTTTGGTGTTACTTGGCTTGTTATATATCAGCTGTATTCTGTCATGAAAATCATGTGTGCCTTCATAGTTTTTCCAATTGACTTTCCCCTAAGAAGGACTAACAGTGTAGACTGATCACTCTCTGGACATACA